CCTGTATGATCAGAGCATGAAAAAAATAGACCCACAGAGACCTAAACTGCTTGCCCCTTAATTTAGCCATCAAAAAAGGATAAATCACTGGCCAAACTCCCACCATGTGAGGGCAGTTTTGAAGAGCATGTTAAAGCAGCATCTTAGCAAACATTTGGATGTCTTTGCATGCAGGTAAACCAGATCTTCTATCACCATGGATAGAAAAAAAAAAAAGTGAATGCTGAACTACTTTCTGTATGCAAGAGCTCAATGATATGTGAGCATCTACAAGATCTTCTTAGTGCCTATACCTGTACAGGCTGCTGCATAATCAGCTGTGTCTGTAGTCAAAACAATCTCCCCTGCACAGAACTGGGTGCATGCCAAGGCAACGAAGATTGTGGTAGCCCACACACTTGCCAGATCAGAAGGATGAACTAGAGGATAATGATAATGTTACCTGTGCTGCACCATTTCAACAATACCTGTAAAAATGTATTAGATTTTGTTTTACCCTTTAGATTGTTTTGGGGTCAAAGAAATCCAATTTTAGGTCTTGAAATAGAGTAATTACGTTAACAGAATTGATTGCAAATATTCAAAGTAGTCATTTTAACATGGCGTTGTTTATCCCTGTTTCCGTGGTGATAGCACCTCTGAACAGCTACACATTATACTTCATCTTAAAGAGGTCACAAGTTTTCAAATGATGTATGACATGCATGTGTGGAGAGAGGGTACATTAAGTCAACTTAATTGGTGTCTGCTGCTCACCTAATATGCACAGAGAATTCTCCACTGAAGGAAACTTCAGATGTGGCAGCAATCATAGGACCACTGTAGATTGTCACTGGTGTGCCCCTACCTGCAAAAGCTTCTGTACAATTAATAGGGTGGGAAAGGGACAGTAATTCTTTCACATTTTTGGCACATGCTTCTGTTTTCAGTGGGCTAAGGGGAATCTAAATGTTAATAAATGTGTTTTGCGACAAGCCAATTAGAGGCAGTGATGTTTTGCCTCCAACTCAAGTTGGTGGCAGAAAAGAGGTTCCAATGTTCACAGCTGGAGAGCTGGTAGAAAAAAAACAAACCTGCTGCATTAAAGATGCTGTGAGTCACCTTCTTTTGCCCTTGCTCCTCAGAAAGGCATTAAAGACAGCCACTTAAACTTCAAAGTTGCTGCTTTCGTTGGTTTGTCTCAAAACTATGATTGCCATTATTTCTTTAAGTGTATCTTTTGGAATTGCATTTTACCTATACATAATCCTAAATTACCTTTCAAAAATGGTGGCAAAACCCTTTGTTGGGGAACAAGTATGGAGCCAGTTATGTAGGGTAATTTAAATGCACAAATCAGACATTCGAGACCTGTTAGCAAATGCACTTTTTAGTGTTTGTATTTATCCACACCAATATGGCCTACCAGGTAAAAATATATTAAGGACTTTAAAAAGAAAAACAACCAAAAACTTCAGTTTATGGTTCATTAGATCAAAAAAACCTCTTTTAAAGTGCCATTGAGTTATATTTCTTACACAGATGCATTCAGAAATTTTCTTGTAGGGTTTCTATTAAAATTAAATTGGAGTTACATATGCAGTCACATTTATACAGCATTAAAGATGTGCATGAAGTCTGGAAGGCAATAAAATAACTGGTCAAGTGAAACACGGCCTAACAGCTCGATGGCATCTCTCTGCCTGTAGCACAATAAGCTTTTCAGAATCCATGCTATCAATTCCAAAGTTTCAGGGAATCCTGTAGGTATCAACAGGAAGAACCCTACTGATTTTGGTGATAACTGGAAAACTCTGATTTACAATAAAACCAGGTGATTGGCCTTTGATATCACAGTCCCACTAGGTGCTTCTGGATGCTGAGGAGAGGAATTAGGGGACCACAGAGTCTCTGGCCTAGGTGGGGTGGGGGATTGAGGATCTTAGAACGGGGGGAGAAGGGAATGGATTCATGGCCCCGGCCTGAGGGGAGGAGGGCATGGGGGCTCAGAAGGTTAGATGTAGAGCTGGTTGTAAGTTTCTGAGGGAATGTTTTTCTGTTGGAAAATGCTGATTTGTCAACGTGGAGATGGTCCATGGGAAGGTGTCTATTTTGACAAATTTTGGACACCAAATTGGCTGGCCTGGCTTCCTGCAAGCCTGCTAGCAAGCTAGCCAGCCAGCCAACCCGGAGCCCCTGGCGCATGCTGCAATGAGCTCAGCCTATAGAAGCAACGAAACATGCCCCTTTCTAATGGTAGCAGTAGTAATAAATAGAAAGGCAAGATCCAAGCCCCAAGGAGAGCATAAACTAACTTAAGTAGAACACAACTGACAATATATGTTGTTTGTGTGCAAACAGAACATATAAGATGCTGTATTTTGATAGGACTGGATTATGTTCTGTATTCTTTTCCATCACACACACATAACATTCTTATTCTGAAGAATTATTAAAGACTTCCCTGAAAGAGGTGGGGAGTCCAGCAACTATAACCCCAAACATGTATTTTCTAAAAAAGAGTGAGTGAGTTCGTGGGAGGATTTGGATTGTCCACAGCAGATACCTCTATTTCAGTAAGAAGCCCAGTTCTTGATAAGGGAGGCCCACCATGGCCCAAAAAAAGGTAGCAAGGAGTACCCATAGGTGCTGCAGAGAAAAGCTCTTCAGCATCTACAGGGTAGGGTTGGCATAGTAGCAATGGCCCCTACAGCTATTTTGGGGTAAGGATCAGCAGCTCCCTCCCTAACCCAATCATAAAATATCAGGGTTAGAAGGGACCTCAGGAGGTCATCTAGTCCAACCCCCTGCTCAAAGCAGGACCAATCCCCAATTTTTGCCCCAGATCCCTAAATGGCCTCCTCAAGGATTGAACTCACAACCCTGGGTTTAGCAGGCCAATGCTCAAACCACTGAGCTATCCCTCCCCCCACGTCTAGCCAACAACTGGTGGAGGAGGCAGGAGGGATACGAGTGACTATTACTTCAGTCTTGAGTTACCCAGACAGAGGAACAGGAATCTCTGGGGTGTCCCTTTCATAGGCACAAAAGGCAAGCAAACAGAGGCTGCAAACAGCCCCTCATATCTGCCTGTCTATGGAGTGTGCTTGTCCCAGTCATTCAGGATGGGGAGCAGGAAAGCAACCACCATTTTCACTGCCTAGCATTGAATATTCCCCATTCCCTCCTTACTGCTACTGGCAGGGCTGCCACTGGCCTCTTCATCCCTTGCTGGGATGACCTTTCTGTCTTCTCCCAAGAAAAGATGGCTGTATCTGACCACTTTCTCTGTTCCCCAGCCTACTCCCCTTTATTGGCATGAAATTGTTTGTGTGGCTATAGGGCAGGTAGTGAAATCTTTTGAGCATGGTCGGAGAGGGGGAGGGGAGGGAGGAATCAAAAGGGCTTACCAGATACAGCCTACCTTCTCAGCAGATCAAGGACAATCCCCAACAGGGGACAGAGGCCAACTGCATTAAAAAATGGGTGGGAAAAATAAAGCTTGGAGCAAGGAAAGCAGCATCTGTTTTCCTGACTTCCTACGTGACAGTGGCTTTTTTGGGAAGGAGCTGGCTCCCCTACCAGCGAGGTGAAGAGGACTAGGGGCCTTTCTTCTGTCTCCTTTCCAATTTGTGGGTGCTCCTTAACGCTTCACATTATTGCTGGTCCCTGACTCTCCTTCCTGGGCAGGGGTGGGCTCTAGTTCTAGTCTCCCTTACCTTGTAACTGATGAACTTCTCTTCAGAAGTAGGACTGTGTCCCACTGCTCCTGCCATCTGGAGAGCACCCTCTCAGACATTGTCAGCAAGATGCAAGACTTATTCCTGGTGACAGGCATGATGGTTGAGTGGCCACTCAGAACGACTAAATCCCTTGCTCTTCCAAACCAATTTGTTGTTAATTGATCCATATTGGGTTATAGCAGACCTGGTTTCACTTTTTAAAATACAGTAAGGGTCAGGGATACAGCAACATATCAAAAAGGGCCGTGAATGAAAAGAAGGTGGACAAAATGGTGCATGAGGTAGACTGTTCCAGGCACACGAGGTAGAAAGGAAGACCAATACAAAGGGGAGGCTTGTGGAATGAAGACAGCAGACATATAGGTAGGAAGGAGTTTTGTACAGCACTGACAGGAGACAGATGAAGATTGAATTTTCCATGGAAGGTTTGTGGATGGAACAGGTAACAGTCTAAGTGACAGGAAGGGAAGATTGTTTTAGCAATATTCTGGAGGAAGTCCATCAAAGAAAAGATTTCCAAGTCTCTGGGGCCTTATAGGTTTTCCTATTCTCTGCTATTAGCTAGAATACTGCTATATTCCCCTAAGTGGGCAGAACAACCATGGGAATATTTTATTATTCCTTAACTCAAAATGCCTACATATTACTAAACTTATATAGTTCCCATTGTATGCAACTGCATGCACTTTGAGATACTCAGATTAGTCTATTCTGGACTACTGTGTCATCATTTTAATAATCTAATGTATCTGTCTTCACAAATTTATCAAGTTTGCTTTTCCTGTCTGCCTTCACTAACTCCCCTTTCTCAAGTAATAAGCTTTTGCAGTTGAGTTTTAACCTCCAGCATACAGGGAGTTTAAAGTGGAAACACTAGATCTTTTCCTGTACAGATACAAGCAGTGCCACTATGATCAAAGCAGAACAGAAACTGACAGCATTGCATCTTAACTTTTAGCACCTGGTTGGCCTTGCCAGGATTCGAACCTGGATCATCTGTATGGTTAGACAGAGGCTTCCCCTGAGCACAAGACCAGCTTTGGTGCAAGTTCCTTCCTTACAACTGCTATCCTTAAAGCTACAAAGTTTTCAAGCAGTTTCTGTTCTTACATGCAGCTAAAAAAGCAAAGGAAGTGTTTGGAATTTGAGTGTCATCAGGAAAGAATGACAACATGCAATACGCAGAAGGGTAGACTAAGTGGAAATAACGAAGTGCAGGGGAGAAATTGGATCTTACCCTATCCTGTTTTATTATAATCACAATATTAAGCACTTTACCTTGATATTTTTCTGGATTTGGCATTGCTTTTGACCTCTTTTTTGGCAAATTCACTCGAGGATCCCCAACAGTCAGGCCCAGTATTGTACCTGCTGCAATTTCTGATGGAGAGCTTATCCCTTTAAAACACACAAATGCACATCACTGTGAAACAGACATTACCAACAGGAAAAAACAATGGACTGAAACAGTCTTCTCTGTATTCTTTACTGGATACATTTTTCCCTTGGGATCGGATGCCTTTGCAAGCCTGAGAGGCACCATACAGTTTTATATATATTTTTGAAGAATCACTAATAGTCACCCAGTATTGTGGAGACAACAGTAGCAATGTTAATTAAGGTTACATCAAGATTTGTACTTAGTGCAGAAATGAAGTCACTGTTTCACACTTTAATGACTAAATTTATTCTCCAGTTTTGGCATAGTAACTCTCTGGAGGACAACTGAATTTTCCATGTGCTGCTTTTTTTTTTTTTTTTTTTTTTTTAAATATACAAAAGGCCAATCAACTTTTTCAGAGGAAATAAAAGTCACAAGACTCTTTTCTACAGCAATTAGAAGTATTAGTTGTGTACTATATCAGTTATTAAATTGTATCATAGTTTGAAGAGTTTCATAGAATATCAGGGTTGGAAGGGACCTCAGGAGGTCATCTAGTCCAACCCCCTGCTCAAAGCAGGACCAATCCCCAATTTTTGCCCCAGATCCCTAAATGGCCCCCTCAAGGATTGAACTCACAACCCTGGGTTTAGCAGGCCAATGCTCAAACCACTGAGCTATCCCTCCCCCTATGTTCTATGTTTCCTTCCTCAAATCCCCTACTATATACCTTGCAACAACTTGAAGATGGCTTCTTGACGTTGATGAAGAGACACCTTCTCAGAATTCTTGCAGTTTTCTACCCACCAATTGTTAAGTTCCGTTTCTGCATCTGCCATCACCTGGAAAACAATGATTTCCTGTGAGGGAGACTAAGTGGCCCTTGAAGTGTTTTGTAGATCCAAATTCAGACTTAATGTATATGTACATCAGATATGGTCACAAAATATACTTTTCCCCCTCCTTAAATTTTGAATGGAAACTCCATTTTTACTGACATCTAAACTGGAAATTGTCATTTAATTCCTATAATACTGCATTTTTCCAGTCTTCCTTCAGCAAAAAAATGGCCAGCTTAATTCTTCGACCCAAAACTGAAGAACTAACAGCCTACAGTGTTTCTCAGCCTTTTTAGGTTAGCAAACCTTTATTCATGTCAGATTTATGACCCCCTTATGTTTACTATAAAAAAAAGTATGTTAAAAATATGAGAAAAACAGTAAGCCTGTGTGTATGTTTCAAGAAACTACTTGACCTTAAAAGGGTAAGGGTGTGCATGAAAAACAGATTTTTTGCTTTAGATTGTAACACAAATTTTCAATGACTTACACACCCTTTGATTACCTTTCATGACCTCCTCTAGGGGTGGTAACCTGCTGGTTAAGAAACATTAGTCTACAGTATGCCAGAGTGAACCTCGAATCTGCCTGCCATCTCATGTCAAGGTTCCTTCCCCACTCTGAACTCTAGGGTACAGATGTGGGGACCTGCATGAAAGACCCCCTAAGCTTATTCTTACCAGCTTAGTTAAAAACTTCCTCAAGGTACAAACTTTGCCTTGTCCTTGAACCTTATGCTGCCACCACCAAGTATGTTAAACAAAGAACAGGGAAAGAGCCCACTTGGAGACCACTTCCCCCCCAAAAAATATCCCCCCACGCCCTACACCCCCTTTCCTGGGGAAGGCTTGATAAAAATCCTCACCAATTTGCATAGGTGAACACAGACCCAAACCCTTGGATCTTAAGAACAATGAAAAAGCAATCAGGTTCTTAACTATTCTGAAAACTTGAGTGCTTACTCCAAAGCAATGCAGTTTTGTTGACTTTATTTTTTTTAACTCTTGATTTCTTCAGGAACCCCCAAATCAGACACCTTAATGGAAAGTATACTTTAGTCAAATACAAGTTATTGGGCTCAATACAGGGGTAGTAACTGGATGAAATGTAATGACCTGTGATAGGAGGGAGGTCAGACTAGATAATTTAACAGTCCCTTCTGGTCTTAAAAAGTCTGTAAGTATGAATTATTGGTATTACTATTCTAGTAGTATAGCTTGTGCATCACAAGACAAGTAAATTGCTGATTCCTTACAGTTTGGATAGGAGCAGTTTTCAGTGCTTCTGTAAGGACACAGTGCGAGAGTGGGCCAATCAACCGATATCTGAGAATCTCCATGGTCAAATCACTGAAAAACATAAAAATACAAAAGTGAAACTAAGTGTTCATTCATGCAGTTTGTATGAACGGCACATCAGTCAATAGGATTTTAAATCAGAGATTCTAGCTAATTTCAAGTTCTAAGGTTAATAATTTCTGGTACTATGAACGTACCTGATCACAATGCCAGTAGTTTGTGATGTCCAGCAGTATGACTGAAGTGGAACTCTGGTTCCATCGCCAATGATTTTTTCCACTGGCACAGCTGTTTCTCCTTCATTGTCTTCCCTCTTCCTTTTCCTGCCAACACACATAGCTACATCTGTTTGTTTTTCTTCTTGAAGCAGTGTGACAATTGGTTCAGGAGAACAGGTTTCTACAGGCTCTGAACACTGACAGACTGCTTTTAGCTCACTCAGTATTTCCTAAGGGGAAAAAAAAATTGATATTGAGTTTGCATTCGCAAAATTAGAGATTTATTTGTAAGATACAGATCTAAGATACAATTTTAGAATTATGTTGTGCTGCTTTACCTTTCCTATACAGGCTAGATTCACAAGAGGTACCTCACGGCCATTTTACATGTCCAAATCCCAGAATCAGGCCCCACTGGAATTCATAAAGCCCCTGCTCAGCTGCCCTCAAACCCTGTAGGCTCTTAAGCCTCACTTGGTGCTGCCTACATTTTTTCAGTGAAAGTTCCCTGGGGACCTATGGTTCTGCCTCTCAGCAAGTGCACTGCAGAGCCACACCAGGCGTCCAGATACCTAAGCTTCATAGCAATACACAAACCGAGAGAAGACAGGTGTTCTTCCACCTAACTTGCCTGCGGGGCCTGATCTGGAAGCATGTTCTCTACAGCAGCCTGATCCAGCAGGCGAGGTGTGAAGCATACAGAAAATGCTGGGTTGGGGGCAAGAAAGACGACAACCACCATCATAATGTTTAGCCCAGTGGTTAGGGTACCGATTTGGGAGACCCCTGGTTCAAGTCTCCTCTCCACCAGAGGGGGAAAAAGGGGATATGAACTGGGATCGGCCACCACTAAGGTAAGCACCTTAGCCACTGGGCTGTGAGGTAGTCTGATGTGGGACTCCCTGTCTCTCTTGTTGAAACTGTTCCAGTCTGGATAAATAAATAAACCGCTCTTTTTTCCCTCCGCAGTAAGCATGAGAGCGACTCGACAGACTGGTGGCTAGAACACTCCTTTGAGAGGTGAAAGATCCAGGATCCAGTCCCTCTGCTCCAATGACTTTTTGGACAAAGAATGTGCGCTAATTACAGAATTTTAAGTTATGTAGTTAAATATCAGACCACAAAAAAAAAAAATCTACAATAAAGATGTTCCAAGCTCAACTTGTTACAGAGGCGGGGAAAAACAACCACTACTTCAAGCATACAATTAACCACTGCATTACGAGATGCTGCAACAAGACAGAGGGAATAGAGAAAATAATTCTAGTAAGAACTTAGTTTTTGTGCAAGATCAGCAACATTTATAATTCGTAATAATAGGGTAGTAATTATAGGGTTTTCAGGACCTGAGTCAAATGTTTAATTAAGAAAGTCAATTTAATTAAGGTTGTTTTTAAACCTCACACTTCAAACAAACAAAAAAACTGAATTTAGTTTGTTTTTATGGCTTTTGTTCAACAGCAAACACATCTATAAGATTAATGTATTATACTTCCCTCAAGTACTACACAATACGAAAATTGAGATTAGAATGTAAATTAAGTCAAACCAAGGAGTTAAAATACAAATTACAATTGATTAACTAAAAAGAAAACAACTTGAGATCAACAACTGGTAAAATCATTGCATGAGCACAGTCAGCAATCAAATCACAAGTTAACATAACACCAATGATTAGACTGACTTAGCCATTTACCTCTATGTAGTTTACTTAGCCGTTTACATTCTCCTTTCTGGAAACAACGGGGTTAAGTTTAGAATATTTATGAACCCAAGATACCACAGATCATTAGAGGTTAAGATTTGCATTGAACCTATACTATGGGCTCACACACACGCAGGTTATTACTATGGCTCATCCACCTCCCCCACACACACACACACTCTACAAACGCTAGGACAAGTCTTTCCTGGCAGGTGTCTCGGAACAGATATTCAAATATCCTGTTGAGGAAATAAAGAATGAAGTTACTTAGAAAAAGGATCTGCTGTCTGGTTTGTGTGCTGTCTGGAGCTTTAAAGTCAGTCAGGAACTGCAGTTTGGGGAACCAGATGATGTCTTCTAGCTCAGGTACCATATTGCTAATGGGCCTTCTCCTCCAGTCAACTGGCTGGTCTGTGATGTTTGCCTACTTCCCTTGGGAGGGAAACCAGAAGTATCAGTTTTTGTCATGGTGATCTTGGAAGGAACACATTCCTTCCACATTTACCTGGTCTTTTAAGGGTGAAATGCAGGCTTATCCACAGGACCTCCCCAGCAATCTTCTGATTTGGATCAGGGTAACACAAAAGTTTCACACCCCAACTGCATTGTCCAATCCTGGTCAAGTGAGGTCAATCTGACCTTTGATCCATTCTTGCAGCCCTTCTGCCTTGGGTACTGGTTCTTTGTCACAGCCACAAGTTCAGATGCTCTCTCAACAGGAAATTACTACACCACCAAAAAGATCCTGACTCCCTTTATTTGAGTCAAGAGCTAGGGCTCCCAAATGGCTTCTTGGCCATTTCCCTGCTCATGACTTATGATCCATTGTTCTTTTGACTTAGAAAAATTGTTCCCTACCTATTCACACATCTCATGCTTACACTTTCTCAAGGCCCAAGACCTCATGACTACAGAAAGAAAGTATAGAACTGTCATCCTGTCCGGGAAACAGTGTGAAAGTTTATTTCACTATCAAAGCTCAAAGCCCAAGCTGCTTCAAAAGCTACTTATTAAATCCCATTAATGTAAACTTACTAAAAAACATAGCAAATGAAAATTTATACGTAATGTCTACATTACTAGAGGCCTCTGTGTCTTACAGGATGCAAGAAGAAACTGGAAATTGTTTTACTTTTTCTGTAGGCCCATGTACCACACTCAGCTTTCCCAAATCCATCAGAAAATTATTGCATTTCAGATTTCCTGAAGAGAACATTTCAGAGAGAGATATAAGAAGCTTAAAGTTCAAACTATGAAGGGAGGGGAAAAAAAAAAAATCAGATATACCTGCTTAAGGGATGGATGTGTCCAGATCCACAGCTGTCTAGTTTCAGAAGTAATACAAGACCCATCCTGGGGTTTCCAAATGAAAGTAATAGGACCAAGCACCTCCTCAGGGTAGCGATCTGCACGGTAAAGGACCAGAGAGCCCTGGAGCCTTCCAGACAGACAAGGCACGGCTGCAAAAGTTGGCCCTGGGGGGAAAAAGGAAAAAAAAAAAAATACACATAAAAAGATACAGAAACATCTTCTGTTTCAAAACCTTTCTACAAATGGACCACCAGTAAGAAGCTTCAGAGTAACAGCCGTGTTAGTCTGTCTTCGCAAAAAGAAATGAGTACTTGTGGCACCTTAGAGACTAACCAATTTATTTGAGCATGAGCTTTCGTGAGCTACAGCTCACTTCATCGGATGCATACCGTGGAAACTGCAGAAGACATTATATACACACAGAGACCATGAAACAATACCTCCTCCCACCCCACTGTCCTGCTAGTAATCTTATAAAGCTTTAAGCTTTAAAGCTTATCTAAAGTGATCATCAAGTTGGGCCATTTCCAGCACAAATCCAAGTTTTCTCACTGTCATAAAACTAAAGGGAAGGGTAAACCCCTTTGAAATCCCTCCTGGCCAGGGGAAAGCTCCTCTCACCCGTAAAGGGTTAAGAAGCTAAAGGTAACCTCGCTGGCACCTGACCAAAATGACCAATGAGGAGACAAGATACTTTCAAAAGCTGGGAGGAGGGAGAGAAACAAAGGGTCTGTGTGTCTGTCTATATGCAGGTCTTTGTCGGGGAGAGACCAGGAATGGAGTCTTAGAACTTTTAGTAAGTAATCTAGCTAGGTATGTGTTAGATTATGATTTCTTTAAATGGCTGAGAAAAGAATTGTGCTGAATAGAATAACTATTTCTGTCTGTGTATCTTTTTTGTAACTTAAGGTTTTGCCTAGAGGGGTTCTCTATGTTTTTGAATCTAATTACCCTGTAAGATATCTACCATCCTGATTTTACAGGGGGGATTTCTTTATTTCTATTTACTTCTATTTTTATTAAAAGTCTTCTTGTAAGAAAACTGAATGCTTTTTCATTGTTCTCAGATCCAAGGGTTTGGGTCTGTGGTCACCTATGCAAATTGGTGAGGCTTTTTATCCAACATTTCCCAGGAAAGGGGGGTGCAAGTGTTGGGAGGATTGTTCATTGTTCTTAAGATCCAAGGGTCTGGGTCTGTAGTCACCTAGGCAAATTGGTGAGGCTTTTTACCAAACCTTGTCCAGGAAGTGGGGTGCAAGGTTTTGGGAAGTATTTTGGGGGGGAAGGACGCGTCCAAACAGCTCTTCCCCAGTAACCAGTATTAGTTTGGTGGTGGTAGCGGCCAGTCCAAGGACAACGGGTGGAATATTTTGTACCTCGGGGAAGTTTTGACCTAAGCTGGTAAAGATAAGCTTAGGAGGTTTTTCATGCAGGTCCCCACATCTGTACCCTAGAGTTCAGAGTGGGGGAGGAACCTTGACACTCACCCTCCGCCCCCCCCACACAAACTCACTCTCCTGCTGGTAATAGCCCATCCAAAGTGACCACTCTCTTCACAATGTGTATGATAATCAAGGTGGGCCATTTCCTGCACAAATCCAGGTTCTCTCACCCCCCTCCAAAAAACCACACACACAAACTCACTCTCCTGCTGGTAATAGCTTATCCAAAGTGACCACTCTCCCTACAATGTGCATGGTAATCAAGGTGGGCCATTTCCAGCACAAATCCAGGCCCTCTCACCCCACCCCCCCCGAAAACACACACACACACACAAACTCACTCTCCTGCTGGCAATAGCTCATCCAAACTGACCACTCTCCAAGTTTAAATCCAAGTTTAACCAGACCGTCTGGGGGGGGGGGGGGTAGGAAAAAACAAGGAGAAATAGGCTACCTTGCATAATGACTTAGCCACTCCCAGTCTCTATTTAAGCCTAAATTAATAGTATCCAACCTACTACAGGACAGGCCTAACAAAGAAAATAACAGAACGCCACTAGCCGTCACCTTCAGCCCCCAACTAAAACCCCTCCAACGCATTATTAAGGATCTACAACCTATCCTGAAGGATGACCCAACACTCTCACAAATCTTGGGAGACAGGCCAGTCCTTGCCTACAGACAGCCCCGCAACCTGAAGCAAATACTCACCAACAACCACATACCACACAACAGAACCACTAACCCACGAACCTATCCTTGCAACAAAGCCCATTGCCAACTGTGCCCACATATCTATTCAGGGGACACCATCATAGGGCCTAATAACATCAGCCACACTATCAGAGGTTCGTTCACCTGCACATCCACCAATGTGATATATGCCATCATCATGTGCCAGCAATGCCCCTCTGCCATTTACATTGGTCAAACTGGACAGTCTCTACGTAAAAGAATAAATGGACACAAATCAGATGTCAAGAATTATAACATTCATAAACCAGTTGGAGAACACTTCAATCTCTCTGGTCACGCAATCACAGACATGAAGGTCGCTATCTTACAACAAAAAAACTTCAAATCCAGACTCCAGCGAGAAACTGCTGAATTGGAATTCATTTGCAAATTGGATACTATTAATTTAGGCTTAAATAGAGACTGGGAGTGGCTAAGTCATTATGCAAGGTAGCCTATTTCCCCTTGTTTTTTCCTACCCCCCCCCAGATGTTCTGGTTAAACTTGGATTTAAACTTGGAGAGTGGTCAGTTTGGATGAGCTATTGCCAGCAGGAGAGTGAGTTTGTGTGTGTTTCCGGGGGCGGGGTAGGGTGAGAAAGCCTGGATTTGTGCTGGAAATGGCCCACCTTGATTATCATGCACATTGTGAAGAGAGTGGTCACTTTGGATGGGCTATTACCAGCAGGAGAGTGAGTTTGTGTGGCGGGGGCGAAGGGTGAGAAAACTTGGATTTGTGCTGGAAATGGCCCAACTTGATGATCACTTTAGATAAGCTATTACCAGCAGGACAGTGGGGTGGGAGGAGGTATTGTTTCATGGTCTCTGTGTGTATATAATGTCTTCTGCAGTTTCCACGGTATGCATCCGATGAAGCTCATGCTCAAATAAATTGGTTAGTCTCTAAGGTGCCACAAGTACTCCTTTTCTTTTTTCAGTAAGAAGCTGTAACCCAGAAGACCTGATCCTGGTGAAAAAAGACATTAAAACTCTCCCCCAACTGACACCTGAGATTCTAACAAGAATCTTGTAAGCTATCCCAGCTCTAGTACCCACTACTTTCCACCAATCATCTCCTCAGAAAGATTTTTCAAGTACTTAATATAACCAGAGCTCTGTAGTAGCTTTGTTATAAGTATTCAGTTTATTCAGACTTTCTGTATTTTTGTACTGCATTTTTCTGCACCATGAGTCCAATTTTAGTCTCTATTTTGAAGCCTAGTTTCATTTTAAAATATTTATGGAAGTTTTACCTGTATCTATACTACACATCCGAGCAAGCACCTTCAGAAGCTCTCTCTCTTTTCCATTCAGCTCCAGACAACAGTAATATGATAAATCCTGAAACAACAGAAGATACTGAAGTTAGAATAGGTTTAAAAACAAACTCTGATAAGGAGATGCTAAATAGATAACTTTCCAAGACTTTGATCAGACACGAGAGCTTAAATAACTTTAATATTAAAGTCAAAGACACATAGTAATTTGAATTTTGCTTGCTCTGTTTTATTTAAAAGTAAAGGTTTGACCTCCTTTGCTAATTGCCAGTTTTGATTCGGCAAGCATTTCTTATGTAAGGCACAGATTATTGGTCTGAGGTTAGACAGAGGAAACAAATTCGGTAACAATGTTTGCCATTGAGAACACCCTGTTTGAGATGCTGTCTTGGGGATTAGAGTTTCCTAGCTTACATATAGGGAAAAGTATTTGAATACAAAACCTTTCAAGTATAAAGAAAAGGAGTACTTGTGGCACCTTAGAGACTAACAAATTTATTTGAGCATAAGCTTTTATGAGCTAAAGCTCACTTCATCGGATGCATGCAGTGGAAAATACAAGGGGGAGATTTTATATATACAACATGAAACAATGGGTGTTACCATACACACTATAAGGAGAGTGATCAGTTAAGGTGAGCTATTCCCAGCAGGAGAGGAAAAAAACCTTTTGTAGTGGTGCTCAAGGTGAGCCATTTCCAGCAGTTGACAAGAACATGTGAGGAACAGTAGAGGGGTGGGGAGAAACAAGCATGGGGAAATAGTTTTACTTTGTGTAATGACACATTCATTCCCAGTCTTTATTCAAGCCTAATTTAATGGTGTCCAGTTTGCAAATTAATTCCAATTCAGCAGTCTCTCGTTGGAGTCTGTTTTTGAAGTTTTTTGTTGAAGAATTGCCACTTTTAGGTCTGTAAATCGAGTGACCAGAGATTGAAGTGTTCTCGGCTGGTTTTTGAATGTTATAATTCTTGACGTCTGATTTGTGTCCATTTAGTCTTTTACGTAGAGACTGTCCGGTTTGGCCAACGTACATGGCAGAGGGGCATTGCTGGCACATGATGGCATACATCACATTGGTAGATGTGCAGGTGAATGAGCCTCTGATATAGTGTGGCTGATGTTATTAGGCCTTATGATGGTGTCTTCAATCTCTCTGGTCACTCGATTAGACCTAAAAGTGGCAATTCTTCAACAAAAAACTTCAAAAACAGACTCCAACGAGAGATTGCTGAATTGGAATTAATTTGCAAACTGGACACCATTAAATTAGGCTTGAATAAAGACTGGGAATGAATGTGTCATTACACAAAGTAAAACTATTTCCCCATGCTTGTTTCTCCCCACCCCGCTACTGTTCCTCACATGTTCTTGTCAACTGCTGGAAACGGCCCACTTTGAGCACCACTACAAAAGGTTTTTTTCCTCTCCTGCTGGGAATAGCTCACCTTAACTGATCATTCTCATTATAGTGTGTATGGTAACACCCATTTTCGCATGTTTTGTGTCTATAAAATCTCCCCCCTGTATTTTCCACTGCATGCATCCGATGAAGCGAGCTGTAGCTCAAGAAAGCTTATGCTCAAATAAATTTGTTAGTCTAAGGTGCCACAAGTACTCCTTTTCTTTTTGTGGATACAGATTAACACGGTTGCTACTCTGAAACCTTTCAAGTATAGTTAAACATTCCCTGCAAAGGTTTGTTTGCCTCAGTCTCTTTCCACCCAATCATTCTCTACCTCAGACATTTCATAACATCAAAAATTAATAGCTAGTAAATCATTATACATGCTTCCCTTCAAGAGTGCTCTAATGAGACATCTATTATAATTTAAAGGTAAACTGCTTAATTATCTAGGCAAGGTAAGTGAAACTGTTGCAAGCATAATACCTGAAGAAGGCAGTGTTTTGTCATGGCTCGGTAGCAAGCCCTATAGCTCTTAGTTGTGGGTCTGTCTCCTAAGCAGTATCCCCATTTCTTCACCATATGAAATCTCTTTGCATGCCAAATATGTGTTTCCAACCAAATATTCTTCTTCTGCCTGCGATTAAACTCCACCACCAAGTTTACGTGACGCCTTCGAGCTTTTCGGCACTTGTTCTTTGAATGCTCTTTTTTCTGATGCACAGCTTTCTCTGCCTGTGTTTTCAGAATGGAAGATATTTTCAGTGGCAAGCTTGAAAGCACAAGTAAGTTTCTATAGAAGAGAATGGCTGTTCTGGATTAGAAGACACTGAACACTGCTAAAACATTTATAGCTTAAACATATGGTATAATTTATTGTTCATAATTAAGATTTTTTTTTAATTTTTTAAACACTTACAAAAAACCCAAAGCCTGTTATTCTTCACCTAAGAACACTGAGGTTAAAATTTTACAATGTTATCAGCAAAAAATGAGTTTGTTTGCCTGTTGTCCAAATTTCTGCACAAAAATCAAAATATACTACACATTGATAATATAAAGGCTGGAAAGACAGAGGGTGTTGAGAATCAGCCCTCAAGTGCACCAGCAGAATTGAATAGAGAGTCCTGCACTATTCATGACTGCTGCCAGTGTTTATTACAGCTCACGCTCAGGAAAACCTGCAGACAGGTGAATTTTAGCCTTTGCAAGTAGACACTGGTCTCTTCAGACAAGTGGCTGACAGCTGTTAGCACCCATAATTAATTTTACTGTATATCAGACTACATGGGATGTCAGAGGTAGATTTAAGGATACTGCGTGCCCTCGTCCTTTTCCTAAAGATTTATGACTAGCAGTATACCAATAAGTCATTATCTTTAAGGATAAACTGAAGAGAACCTGAATTGCCAGAGGGGTATCACTGAAGTTTGATACCCAAATCACTTCATTTGATTAAAAAGACATGGAACTGAGTTTTTTCCTTTTTGACTCCAGTAGGAGTAAGTCTTAAAGTTTAAGTATCCTAATATATAGGTTAAAGGCATAAGTCACATTAGAGGACACTAAAGGCCACACCATACAGAATAATTCAAAATAATAAATTAGTATAAGCATTTGTATTTTGGGAAAAAATTACTTGAAATTATATTCAGAATCTTTGCAGTGACGAGATCTTTTGATTTCAGAACCAGTCATTTTATCAAATACAGATTTGTTTAAGGAAATAATTGACTGCTGTAAAGCAATGGCTGAAGGCTACCATGAGTAAGTATTTCACTGCCATTTAGTCAGTCACCCTTAAATTACTCAGAATACACATTAGGAATGCTAGGCTCAGCAACAGAAGTAACAACAAATTTAAGGAACCATGCACACACTAAAAGGAGGAAGGGAAAACAGACATAAAACATACTTCAAAAATAACTGAACGATGCAGTTTAGAGACCAGTCATATTTAGATACCAAATGCTATAAGTGAATTGTACCTCTTTTCTGGCAATCTCACGGAGCCGTCTAGGTAGGCGTTTAATATTGTGACTCATGGCTCGTCTTCGCATGTGCCTAGGCAGAGTCTGAAAGACTAATGAATTGGAAGACTTCTGTGTAACTGCCTTCAACATAACACTGATTTCAGCAGCACGGGCTTGAGCAAAGGTAGATGCTGAAATGAAAAAAACATGCAGAGGTGATATAATGGAAACAGAATTAAATGAGAGGCTCGCCTTTTGCTTACTTTGTTTTATAATACAAGCCAATACAAAAGTTTTGCAGCAATAAAGTTTGCAATTTTAAAATTGTGTAACTATGGAATAATAGTATATTGCTGCTATAACTCCCTAATGACTCTTACAATATTAACTTTTGTTTTGTTTAGTAAACTACTCAAATAGTTGTACCCTATTACTGAAATAATTTAAGTTATTTAGGTATTTTGATGCTCTCAGCAGAAACCAAACAGTCATGCAGCACATGATTCTAAAAGCCTTGCTGAATATTCTCCTTAGATCACATTTAATTTAACTGAAAATAGAATTTATATAATTTGTTTTGAGTGTTCAAAGCTGAAAAAAAAAAAAAACTGTTGGTGGAGATACCATAATTGCTTCCCTTTTGGCCATTGCAGAATGTTTACAAATACATTGACAACAATCATGCCTGGATAACTGACAGAACTGATTTTAAAGTTTACCAATTGATACAGTATTGCCAAATCATGTAAATTAGTACGTTTTATTTGCCCCTTTGCTTCCACATAGGAGGGCTTTTCTCCAACTAAAATAGCATTTAATTTATGTGAACATAAGAATGGCCACACTGGGTCAGACCAAAGGTCCACCTAGCCCAGTATCCTGTCTTCCGACAGTGGCCACTGCCAGGTGCCCCAGAAGGAATGAACAGAGCAGGTAATCATGCACAAAGCCTTGGAAACAAGCAGGGAGAACTGGAGGCCCTGGTGATGTCAAGGAATTATGATGTGATTGGAATAACAGAGACTTGGTGGGATAACCCACATGACTGGAGTACTGTCATGGATGGTTATAAACTGTTCCGGAAGGACAGGCAGGGCAGAAAAGGTGGGGGAGTAGCACTGTATGTAAGGGAGCAGTATGACTGCTCAGAGCTCCAGTATGAAACTGCAGAAAAACCTGAGTGTCTCTGGATTAAGTTTAGAAGTGTGAACAACAGGAGTGATGTAGTGGTGGGAGTCTGCTATAGACCACCGGACCAGGGGGATGAGGTGGATGAGGCTTTCTTCCGGCAGCTCGCGGAAGCTACTAGATCACATGCCCTGGTTCTCATGGGTGACTTTAATTTTCCTGATATCTGCTGGGAGAGCAATACAGCGGTGCATAGACAATCCAGGAAGTTTTTGGAAAGCATAGGGGATAATTTCCTGGTGCAAGTGCTAGAGGAGTCAACTAGGGGGGGAGCTTTTCTTGAACTGCTGCTCACAAACCGGGAAGAATTAGTAGGGGAAGCAAAAGTGGATGGGAATCTGGGAGGCAGTGACCATGAGTTGGTTGAGTTCAGGATCCTGACACAGGGAAGAAAGGTAAGCAGCAAGATACAGACCCTGGACTTCAGGAAAGCAGACTTCGACTCCCTCAGGGAACAGATGGGTAGGATCCCCTGGAGGACTAACATGAAGGGGAAAGGAGTCCAGGAGAGCTGGCTGTATTTCAAGGAATCCCTGCTGAGATTACAGGGACAAACCATCCCGATGTGTCGAAAGAATAGTAAATATGGCAGGCGACCAGCTTGGCTTAACGGTGAAATCCTAGCGGATCTTAAGCATAAAAAAGAAGCTTACAAGAAGTGGAAGGTTGGACATATGACCAGGGAAGAGTATAAAAATATTGCTCGGGCATGTAGGAATGAAATTAGGAGGGCCAAATCGCACCTGGAGCTGCAGCTAGCGAGAGATGTTAAGAGTAACAAGAAGGGTTTCTTCAGGTATGTTGGCAACAAGAAGAAAGCCAAGGAAAGTGTGGGCCCCTTCATGAATGAGGGAGGCAACCTAGTGACAGAGGATGTGGAAAAAGCTAATGTACTCAATGCTTTTTTTGCCTCTGTCTTCACTAACAAGGTCAGCTCCCAGACTGCTGCGCTGGGCATCACAACATGGGGAATAGATGGCCAGCCCTCTGTGGAGAAAGAGCTGGTTAGGGACTATTTAGAAAAGCTGGACGTGCACAAGTCCATGGGGCCGGACGAGTTGCATCTGAGAGTGCTAAAAGAACTGGCGGCTGTGATTGCAGAGCCATTGGCCTTTATCTTTGAAAACTCGTGGCGAACGGGGGAAGTCCCGGATGACTGAAAAAAGGCTAATGTAGTGCCAATCTTTAAAAAAGGAAAGAAGGAGGATCCTGGGAACTACAGGTCAGTCAGCCTCACCTCAGTCCCCGGAAAAATCATGGAGCAGGTCCTCAAAGAATCAATCCTGAAGCACTTACATGAGAGGAAAGTGATCAGGAACAGTCAGCATGGATTCACCAAGGGAAGGTCATGCCTGACTAATCTAATCGCCTTCTATGATGAGATTACTGGTTCTGTGGATGAAGGGAAAGCAGTGGATGTATTGTATCTTGACTTTAGCAAAGCTTTTGACACGGTCTCCCACAGTATTCTTGTCAGCAAGTTAAAGTAGTATGGGCTGGATGAATGCACTATAAGGTGGGTAGAAAGTTGGCTAGATTGTCGGGCTCAACGGGTAGTGATCAATGGCTCCATGTCTAGTTGGCAGCCGGTGTCAAGTGGAGTGCCCCAGGGATCGGTCCTGGGGCCAGTTTTGTTCAATATCTTCATAAATGATCTGGAGGATGGTGTGGATTGCACTCAGCAAATTTGCGGATGATACTAAACTGGGAGGAGTGGTAGATACGCTGGAGGGCAGGGATAGGATACAGAGGGACCTAGACAAATTGGAGGATTGGGCCAAAAGAAATCTGATGAGGTTCAATAAGGATAAGCGCAGGGTCCTGCACTTAGGACGGAAGAACCCAATGTACAGCTACAGACTAGGGACCGAATGGCTAGGCAGCAGTTCTGCGGAAAAGGACCTAGGGATGACAGTGGACGAGAAGCTGGATATGAGTCAGCAGTGTGCCCTTGTTGCCAAGAAGGCCAATGGCATTTTGGGATGTATAAGTAGGGGCATAGCGAGCAGATCGAGGGACGTGATCGTCCCCCTCTATTCGACATTGGTGAGGCCTCATCTGGAGTACTGTGTCCAGTTTTGGGCCCCACACTACAAGAAGGATGTGGATAAATTGGAAAGAGTCCAGCAAAGGGCAACAAAAATGATTAGGGGTGTGGAACACATGACTTATGAGGAGAGGCTGAGAGAACTAGGATTGTTTAGTCTGCGGAAGAGAAGAATGAGGGGGGATTTGATAGGTGCTTTCAACTACCTGAAAGGGGGTTCCAAAGAGGATGGTTCTAGACTATTCTCAGTGGTAGAAGAGGACAGAACAAGGAGTAATGGTCTCAAGTTGCAGTGGGGGAGGTTTAGGTTGGATATTAGGAAAAACTTTTTCACTAGGAGGGTGGTGAAACACTGGAATGCGTTGCCTAGGGAGGTGGTGGAATCTCCTTCCTTAGAAGTTTTTAAGGTCAGGCTTGACAAAGCCCTGGCTGGGATGATTTAATTGGGGATGGGTCCTGCTTTTGAGCAGGGGGTTGGACTAGATGACCTCCTGAGGTCCCTTCCAACCCTGATATTCTATGATTCTATGATTCCCCTTCCCATGTACCCCACCTCTGCAGAGTAGGGGAGGGGAGACAGGGCTCAGGACAGAGCAGGAGAGCTTTCAGTGAGTGCCTTAAAGAGACAGCACATGGCATCTCTCGGAAACTTCCCCAGCAGCCAGCACACCCTGTCTCTGTGTCATGCGCACAGACAGTCTTTCACACTCACCTCCCAACACATACTTGTATTATTGTTGTTGTTACTTCTTGGTACTTCCTGCAATTCACGTATATTCTCTGTAATATTATTCTTTCAAAGTGTTGTTATTTTTAGTTTTTTGACTGGTCTATGCATATCATTTTTATTTCTCTCTTACTACTCAAAGAATTAAATTGAAGTGCGAGTTCTAAAATACCTAACCTGTTTTGGCTGGAGTAATTATCCCTATGGTAACTTTTTAAAAACATATTCTATCTAGGTTTTTTGTTTCTACTGGTGGTACACATCCGCGCATACCTCAGTGCGCATAACAAAAGTTATTCTGCACATGGATGGAGGAAATTAGAGGGAACATTGCATCATCCCTGCCAATCCTGGTTAATAGCCATTGATGGACCTATCCTCCAGGAATTTATCTAGTTCTTTTTTGAACCCTGTTATAGTCTTGGCCTTCATAACATCTTTTGGCAAAGAGTTCCACAGGTTGACTGTGCATTGCATGAAGAAATATTTATTTTGTTTTAAACCTGCTGCCTTCTTGTTTTATGAGAAGGAGTATATAACACTTCCTTATTTACTTCCTCCACGTCAGTCATGATTTTATAGAGCTCTATCATATCCCCTCTTGGGACCTCTCTTTTCCATCTGAAAAGTCCCAATCTTATTAATCTCTCCTCATATGGAAGCCGTTCCATACCCCTAATCATTTTTGTTGCCCTTTTCTGAACCTTTTCCAATATATCTTTGAGACAAGGCAACCATATTTGCATGCAGTATTCACAATGTGGGCATAAGACCACCTGGAAACATCCTCAGTCCAAACACTGGCACCCACTTAAGTATGTTATAATCAGAGCCTGAGATTATGATGACATCCGTATAACACAAGCCATGAGAGGTACAGATCACTGTTGGACAGACCTTAGATTAGTAAGATCAGTTGTGAGCCTTATGTGTAGCTATATGTCACAGTGAAAAATAGGCTATATGTGTAGCTACACGTGTCGGTAAAAGGCTCCTGCTACTGGGGCCTTTCCCTGCTGCTGTGGGGAAAGATTACAGCAGCAGGGAGGAAGCAGGACACTACACTATTAAAAAGAGCAACATAGGATGGGGAAGGTACTGCTTGGATAAGTAGGGTATGCACCCACAGGATTCAGGCATGTTCTTACTCTACTTGCCTAAGCAGTGCCTCGCAATCTACACTGGTTTATATCAGCACTAGAGGCCGTGATGCGTAGTGAATGTCCTCTACATACTGCCAAAAGTGTGCAGTGTAGACATATCTTAAAAATGTAGGTCCACTGACAACATTCATTTTTCTAACCTACAAAAATCCAGAATATGTATGTCTTTGTGACCAAGTACGTTTAAATCCACAATACTGAGGGGAAAAAAAAAAAAAAAAGTGTGGCTTAACAAAGATTTAGTGTTAGTTTCAATCCAGAAGAGTATTTCTACTGAGGGGAAAAATACCTGATAAAACAGAAGTCCACAAGTGCATATCAAATAAGGTCTCAGTTCTTCCAGATTTTACTATCTATTTTACTTTATAGATTTTTACTATTTAAAAACAAAAAAACATGGACCTGAACTATCAGTCCATGGTAACTTCTAGCAAAAATTTCTCTGGACACTTACCTGTTACGTATTTAGGCATTTCTTGAGAAACATTTTGGCGTCCTCCTCCCCAACCTCCTCTTCCTCTACCTCTCTCACCTCTATTTTGCCCCTTAGAAAAATGTTGTTCTTTCCTGTACGAAGGTCCAGGAGACTGATGTTGAGATCTCTGCTGCTGATACTCCTGTGAACTATCAGGATGGAGATCTGCTAGCATGTTGAAAAAGAGAAACAGAGGACGTGAAAATGCTATTAGACTAGCCTGAATAAACGAGCAAATAAAGTTTTTCTAGCATGTGACTACATTTTTGAAAATGAAAGAGAAAAAGTCATTTTTCTATTCAGATCCAGTTTCCGTAAGTTTATGTGATCCCTTTAAGAAGCAGTATGTTTAAAAAAATTAAAAGCGAGTTCTGATTATTTTTAAGTTGATTTATTTTAAAGAAGTGCACAAAACCTTGAACAAAGGTGGCCCTAAAAACATAATGCTGTCAGTTCATCTGTTTACAAACACTTAATTTACCTAATTTAGGTGAAGAGAAGTACCACCATTGGTTCCAATGCACTAAACACTGACCGACATACAAAAAGATGACAGTTGGGAAAAATATTTGTATTCAATAAATACTGAATGAACTTCACACATTTCACACCTTGTTTTGTAGTTTGAAAAGAGCTACTTCCCCCATTATGGTGCTGTATTCCACCATGACATGGTCCACACTCAGAAGATAAAGTGACACTAGCAGGCTGATTTCTCATTTTCTTGGCTCGTTTCTTCTCTCTTGCATTAGACATTTCTGGCGAAAAAACAAACAAAAATTAAAAAGGAGACCATCAGCACATGTACTCTTCCACTTGGCATCACAAACCAATACCTCAGGCCTTATCTATGCACACAAATTGTACCACTTCACCTATACACCAGTACAGTTAAGTGGTACAACTTCCCCACATGTTGCTGCAATTCTATTGTTATAAAGGTGCTTTACAGTAGAATAGCTAATTCTGTAGGTCAGGGGAAAAGCAACAGGCTACACTGGTTTAGCAGAATTCAATTTTTTAAAATATTTCAACAGATAATATCCATGTTAATTTTAAGCATTTTTAATTTTTACCAAGTTTTCAGTTAAACAAAATTGTGGGGGGGGGGGTGAGACAATGTAATAACAGTAAATGATGAGATTAAAAAAGTTAAAGCTTTTTAGCTGTTAAAACACAAAACCACCACCATCACAAGTCAAAATAAGCATTCTTAAATCAAATTAATAAATGCTCAATCATTTTTCTAACTTTTGCTATCTATAAATTTCAGTTATCAATGGAAATATTTTTTCTCCATTTGTGTGTGTATGGTAAAATCAACACTTAGTGACATTTACAGATAGAAAACTAATCCTTCCAAGCTTAGCTATAACACACCTTTACACAGAGAAACGCATCCACACCAGAAGTTGGACCAATTTAATTATCAAAACCTAGCAGAATAGTTTTACTGGTACAAAAATCAGTGGACACACAAGTCATAAAGGAAACAAATAAATTAAATGGAAAGCTGCAAGTAGATTCCTTAAAACAATCCAGCCACTGCACAAAATATTGACAGGTTTGACTGCATGCTATATAGAAACGGTTTTACAATCTATGCCAATCGGAATCCCAAACTGAACTTCATCTTCTGCTGAAATTGTTGGAGTAAGGCACGAGACGTTTAGCAGATGTGTTTCCCCTGGAGTGAACTTAGTGAAGGGGACGGGGGGGACCACATATAATGCACGTGTCTGACCTTCGCTTCCTGACTCAGCATGTCGGATGCTACAACGCACAGCCTGTGTGGGGGGGAGAGGGGGGAGGAGGAGGAATGACTGCTAGGGAGCCGGCTATTGCCGCATCCCGTCACAGGCTAGCGCTGCAATGCAGGGACAGGACAGGCAGGGCGACCTGAGTCCATACAGCCAGGGCTGGGGTGATGGGCACAGGGCCAGGGCAACCAGGCACCCCAACGAATAGCGGGAGCGCGCGCGGGGCACCGGGAGAGGGGAGAGCGGGGCGGGGCACCGGCCCCCTGGGAGAGCGGGGCGGGGCGCTGAGGCCCCCAGGCGGTACCTGGAAGCGGAAGAGTGTAGATGTCCCACCAGGCTCTGCCCCTCTCCCCGGCAGCGGAGCAGCCTCCGGCTACTGCTCTCCCGCCAGCGCTCAGCTCCCCGGCCTTTCAGCCCACGACAACCACGCCGGACCCGCCGCCGCCGCCGCCGCCGCCGTCGTGAGGACGGCGCAAGCGCATAAGAGCCCTTCAGAAAAGACTACATCCCCCAGCAAGCTCCGCGGGAGGAGGAACTGTCCCCCTCCGGAGACGCATGCGCGGTTCGGTGCCGTGCCCCCACGTGGGATTGGGGGTGGAACCCTTATTCTTCGGTAAAAGAGCGAGGCTGTCCCAGCGGGTCCGCAGGGAGCGAAGTGCGGAGCCTCGCGGCGAGTGGCAAAGGGCAGCCATGGCCACCCTGATAAAGCGAATAATCAGCACCTCGAGGGCACCGGCTGTAATGGGCCCCTACAGGTAACGTGCCAGGCTCGTGCGCTCATCTAGCGGGGACTCTGCCTCGTAGAGCGATGGCCTGGATGCTGCAAAGAGAACCACACGGCTAGCCCCGTGACTGCGCTGGGGCGCCAAGTCCACGATCCGCACGGAGCCCGTTTTGCGAGTGGGGCCTGTAGACGAGACAAGGCAGAACATAGTGGGGAGGCCAAAAAAGGGAACAACTTGGAGGCACTTTAAATTTAAGCCGGCAGCTCGTGTGGGCATCGCAGAAGAAGCGAGACTAGGATGGACTTGAAGGAAAAGATGGTTGAGGCTTAGTGAACTGGGATAAAGTGAAAAGAAAAGTACTTGTGGCACCTTAGAGACTAACCAATTTATTTGAGCATAAGCTTTCGTCAGCTACTGTAGCTCACGAAAGCTCATGCTCAAATAAATTGGTTAGTCTCTAAGGTGCCACAAGTACTCCTTTTCTTTTTGCGAATACAGACTAACACGGCTGTTACTCTGAAACCTGGGATAAAGTGAGAATCCCACACGTTGGGAGTTGTGGGGACAGACACGGAGAGGGGGAAATTTACAGCGTCTGTGTATTGCAGATATTTTGCAATGAGGAAGTGTCCATAAAGTGAGCTGTAGCTCACGAAAGCTCATGCTCAAATAAATTGGTTAGTCTCTAAGGTGCCACAAGTACTCCTTTTCTTTTTGCATAATATTCTTGAAAATTTTAAAAAATGAAGAATTGTCATAGATGTTAGTTGTGTCTGTGGCTGGGTAATGGTGGGTTTGTCAGCCTGCATTATGAAATACTGTTTAAGTTTTCAATCTCTTTTTATTGCAGTGACTAGAAACATTATTATTGGGCAACTATGTTTCAGTAAATCTTTTTGCGTTTACATAATGTTTTGCAATTGGCTTTGAAGTCTTTAATTGTGTGCTGTCCGAAATAACTGGGTGTTGTGCCAGCAGCCCTATGTTCAGTGGCAATCAAAATATGCTGAATTTGCAGAGAAGGGAACATAGAGGGCAATGTCTCTAAAGTTAGCCCATCAGCAGATTTCAGCAATACAGCCAGAGAGCAGGTGTGCAGATTTTTAACCTCGCAACTGTAACCAAGTTGTAGCTGATTTGTCAAGCAATGGCCAACTGTGACTAAAAATGTGGATTTAATTGACTGTTTTAGATTTTTTTTCATTACTTACATTACTGTTGAATATTAAAGGCACTTCTTTTTAAAGCTCCTAGTCACCAACATTAGAAAACCCATGCACTCATTAAATAAAGAAAAATAATCCAGGGAGTTCCTAAAAGTCTTCCATGGTCTATGTATTTTTGGAATGACCTATTGAATGCTGAATTCCATGTTGAAGTCCTGTGGCTTTAAATAATCAAAACACTTGATGTGTCCAGTAAAAATTAAAAAGATATCAGCTGTCTTAGTCTAATTTTTGTAAATCTTTAGCTTGGCATTTTATTTGTATCACTAATATCTATGAGATATTTGATCAGAATAGTTATATTTTAGTAACTGCATATTTTATTATAGCTTTTTATTTCTTACCTCATTTTGAATAGGAGGGAGGGAAACAAATTCCAGTTCAGGCAATTACAATCCACCAGTGTAAATTCACCTTGATTGATCAATCCTTCAGCCTTCATATAGATTGTGCAGATCACAACACGTCTTCCATTCTTCTCTTATCCTGGCCTTCCTTCTCCATGTGTGGCCATGTCTTTTCATGATGAAATCTGCCCATCTCTTTGGAGGTCGGCTGTGGTGCTAGTACATAGCTTCAGTCCATTGTCAGTGAGCCTCACTATATGCCTGGCCCATCACATTTTACTGTACCTGCTTTAAACAACAATGTCCTGCACTCCACTCTGCTGGTTGATCACTTCATTGGGGACTCGGTCGTGGATTGAAATCCCCAGAATTCTTCTTTCCATTGCCCTCTCCATGATAGACAGTTGCTGCTCCTCTATCTTCATCAGCGTCCAGGTTTCGCTGCCGTACAACATTGCCGGCAGTACTGCTGAGCTGAAGAGGTTGGTGCATATTGCCTTGTTGATTTTTTTTTTTCTTCTTCTTGGAGGATATCCTTGATAGAATTAAATGCGTGCCAACCAGCTTTCTTTCTTTGTGAGAGTTCATCTTCCTGATCATGGCGCATGTTAATTTCTTGGTCCAAATAGATGAATTGCTCAACTTCTTCATTTGTTCTCCCTGGTGTGTTATTTGGGCTTTTGGCAAGGCATCAGACCACATAAATTTAGTTTTGGAGTGGTTCATTTTCAGTCTGACTTGGCTGCTTTTTGTGTTGCATTCTTGCCGCATTGTCTGTAGTTTGATAGTATTTTCAGCAATCAACATGATACTGTCCGCAAATCTGAGGTGTTTAACTGGTCTCTGTTGATGTTGATTCCACCCTTCCAATTCATCTTCCTTTATTACCATTTCGAGGCAGGCTGTGAGGAGTTTCAGTGAAACAGGGTCTCCTTGTTTCACACCTTTTTTTAACTGGGATGTCAAACAGTTAAATCGTAGTGCAGTCAGAATTTGCTTCCTTTAGTAGTTTGATGTAGTTTGTGTCGATGCTCTGCTCTGCAAGAGCTTTCAACCCTGCATTGATCTCTACACTGTCAAACGCTTTTTCATAATTGACAAAGGCAAAGCATAAAGGAAATTTGTATTCCCTTGAGCATTCCAGTATTTGGTTTATAGTGGAAAATATGGTCCATTGTGCTGAAATTCCTTTGAAAACTTACCTGCTGTCTCGACTGCTGCTTGTCCAGACTCTGTGAGTCGGTTTGTTGTTGTTTTTGGTGAAGAACTTGTAGACGTGAGAGGAGGCATATTGGATGGTAGTTCTTTAGAACTTCACAATCCCCCTTCTTGTGCAGCAAAATGGTGTTGGACTCCTTACAGCTAGACGGTATCGTCTGTGTTGCCAAGTAATGGCTAAACCTCTGAGCAAGGGTCTCTCAGAGGTCTTGGCCTCCAGGTCTTATTTCGGTTGTCAGTCTGTCTCTTCCTGGGGCTTTTTCCTTCCTTCATTTGGTAAACTGCATGTCGAACTTCGCTGATGAGGACTGAGAGTCTAAACTACCCCTTTATTTTCAAAGGGATAAAGTATTCTTCATTTCCTGCCCTAAACAATTCTGTACAGTGTTTGTGCACTATTAAAAAGCTCCTGTGTTTCACTTCAGTGACTGGTGAGGTGGTCTCTATAATAACACTTATAGATCTCAAAACTTCTTAAAAAGGAAAGCATTATCTCCATTTTACAAATGGAAAAACTGAGACAGAGAGACATGAAGTTAACTTGCCCAAGGTCACAGTGCTAATAGTGGCAGAGAAGAAAATAGAATCCTGGTCTCTTGAGTCATAATTTAACATTATACCCGCTGGTCCAAGCTGCCAGTAACGTATCTCTTACCTAAATCTCGGTGGTGTTGAGACATAACAATGTTTGTAAAAGCGCTTGGGATGGAAAGCAACACTTTCATTATTATGCGCAAGACTTTCAAAAGTGAGTAGGGGGGTTGTTGACAGTAGAAATATATCTTTTAGAAGCTTGAAAGTGACATTCTCTTTGTTACCAAGTTAACTTTTCTCTTTTCAGTAAACACTGACTCTGCCTTTTCTACTACTAAAAATAACTGGTCCTATGATTCTTACACAGTACTTTACTTCCCAAAGAGGTGGTATAGTCTGTTGCCACCTTCCCAGACTGAGTTTTCTACCCCCATAAAATGTTATAAATTAATGGGGGGGAAAGGTGAAATATTTCTTCAAGAGGTTTGCTCAAAATAGTTCTGAGTGGTTGGATGGAAACGAGATTTTTCTGGATGAGCTGTAAATATATGTATGACTTACAATTGCAGTCAAGCGGTGCTGATAGACCGGACCATGTATATCGCAGGACAGCTAGGCATGGATCCTTCTAGTGGCCAGCTTGTGCCTGGAGGGGCAAAAGAAGAAGCTAAACAGGTAAGGAGTTATCCAAAGCCCCCTAGCAATAAACTTAATATTTGAGTGTCTTACTATTTGGCCTGTGTTTAGGCCCTGGAGCTATTCATAGAGAACAGAGGCCCAAACATGGAGGCTGGAGTATTGAAGACCATCCCACACAGCAATCCAGGAAGCTGGGGGAGGGCTAAAGTAGGGGACAATGCCTCCTCTCTATCCTTGCTTTCTCCCACCCAAATAATGGGAGGGTGGGTAGGAAAATAGTGAGAAATCCTTATTTCCAGCAGGGGTGGAAATGGTGCTTTAAATTTAATTGGACAATTACTGACTGTTCGCAGTGTTGTAGTCCGAAGAAGAGCTCTGTGAAGCTCAAAAGCTTGTCCCTTCCACCAGCGGAAGTTGGTCCATTAAAAGATATTACCTCACCTACCTTGTTACTCGTTCATTAGATACTTATAACAAAGATTGAGCTTCCAAGCAGACCCCAGGGAGGGGATCTAAGTAAGAATCCTAGTGGCTGAAAAGGGCCAGCTGGCCTACTTGTCAGGGCATTGTCTCTGGACATTGCTGTTGTGCAGTGGGGAGCCCCTCATCTTACATATGTGCCTTTTCCTGAGTTAAATCAAGGAATAAAAATGGAAGCCCTGCTGGAAGTGCAGTCGCTGTGGAAGATGATTCGTAACCTACCTTCCTTTTCACTTGTCTAATGAAAAGGTTGGCTACCATCTGAGGTTGTCTGGAGTAAACTTTCATAGCTACGTCTTGTGGTGCTGGTATGTAGAGAAGCTATAACTTTAACAATGTCGGTACCTCAAGGCTCTGTTTTTCTTCTCAATAGGCTCTAAAAAATATAGGGGAAATCCTGAAAGCTGCAGACTGCGACTACTGCAATGGTGAGTGCCTACATAAGAATAGTAGAGATGTCCAAGTATTTTATTTAGAGAAGAAAACAAAGTGACCTTTTTTAAGGGAATCTTTTTTGTTGAATACATAATTGGTGCTTATAGCTGTGTGATACAAAAGAAAATATGATCCTAGACCCAAGGATTTTAAATTGAAAAAGACAACCCCATACACCTGGGAAACCCAGGGAAAGATTTTTTTATTTTAGGGGTGTGGACGCTCAGCTGTCCTTGCCCCAAATTTCTGACTAGTGATGCTACTGTTTTCAGCCCCATCTGCAGGAACACTAGTGTAGAGAGGGCTCCAGATGGCGGCTGGCACTTTAAGCATCCTGTCCTCTAACCCAACTCAGAGCAGGTCTACAGGAACTGGGGTGAGATTCAGAAAGGTATTTAGGTGCCTATTTCCCATAGGCTTCAAGCTGCCTAAACACTTTTTTGTGAATCCCACCCCTGGGGCTTAAAATGCTGTCAACACTAGTGCATTAACCATGGAGCTGAGCCAGCATTAGCAATGGGAAAGGGGGGAGATCAAAAGGGTAACAAAAAATCATAGTGTAGACAAAGCCTTGAAAAGGCAATGGCTGGAGGTACGGTAACACATTTGTGCCTCATGGAAGAAATGAGCTTTGCAAAGGAATTTAAGGCTGTGATTTTCAAATCTGCTTTAGGGACACACAGTTCCCATTAATTTCCCTTACATGGCATTGAAAATCTCAGCCTGAAAGCATGAAGTGAGTCTAAACGTGTGTGCCCCTTTGAAAATTCCTGATATTGCACTTAATTAGGAAAAAAATCTTATGAAAGCAGTAGTACATGCTGAGTTTCAGGGCACTTCACTGTTTCTAAAACGTCATGATATAGTGTAATAAGTTGGGGTGAGTGGATCTAACTTCATTTTTATGTTAACAATAGATGTCAGTGTTCAGAGTAGGTGAGGTTTATCACTTGAGGTAAAATGAAGTATATGAACTGAATATTAAAGAAATGCACTGGGATTTGCATGCTGCATACAACCCAGCGCTCCATAATATCTGCATTTGTGTAACTCTAGTTGTAAAGACTACTGTGTTGATGGCTGACATGAAGGACTTCAGTGATATTAATGAAATCTACAAGCAGTGTAAGTGGATGTTTTGTTTCCATTTTAGCAGTATCTTGTACAGTTTTATTGCTCACTAAGAGAAAAACTTAATGACAATCTGTTTTGACGTTGTATAAGGTATGGGTTGAAACTGGATAGTCAAAACAAAAAGGAAAGTCACTTATGCATGAACTATGCTTATTTCTATCTTTAATAGGAATATTAGTCATTCAAAAAAAGATGTCTGTTTCCCCGTGACTCAGGTGTTCAGATTATTCCTGCTAGCTAAATCTCTGCCTTTCTCACTTTAATGTGCTTTTAATAATCCATATGTGAAAAGGACTATGGATAGGATTCAAATTCCATCCCTATGTTACACAAATCATAGTGCCAGGTGACAGTGTCAGTCATACTGTAGATCCACAAAACTTGGTGTATTAGAAGGGCAGCTTCAGCATTTAACTGACACTTCTATATTACTTCATCCTTCATTGAGGCAGATCTCCCAATTTACATGTCTTCCATGCTTTGAAGAGCCCCCCAGAGGGATTTGGCTTTACCAAAAGTGGGTGAAATTGGAACTGTATATTTACATTCATATGACAGCCAAAACAGATGGATCAGAATGGAAACTTTCACTCTAGAACCCACTCACATATGTAGTTGATAGGGTGTCTGGTTTTACAGTTCTCTCAGATAAACTGGTAATCCAGAAACAAAATTTAGCACTCACTAACATTGTGGAATTCTAACACTCTGTGCATAATTGTTTTTATAGACTCAACAAGATTTAAAAAAAAAAATAGCCCTCACATAACACTTTAGCTAATTCTTCTTACAACACCACTCTGAGATGGGCAAATACAATATTGTCTGTGATATAAACTTGTAAAGAGGGGCTCCCTCAGAACAGAGAGCTCAGTTCAATGTGGCTGAATAAGGAGTATGAAAATTAATTTGGGATGTTCTTGGCTTTCTCTGTCTCAACAACTTAGAATCCATATGAGAGATTGTGTATCCAAAAGGAGGAGATGGGGACCATATATCTTGTACCAAATGAGAACTAGCAATGTTTGAGCATAGCCTAATGGTTTACCAGAGCCCCAAATGGTATGCCTCTTAAACACTGCAAAGCCTAGTAAAAATCAGGTCCTTTGTATTGCTGGACTTGCGGGGCCAAATATGAGCAGACTTTCTACAATTCTACATGCATATCTTTGTATTTTCCCTAATATTATGCTGCTGTTGGCAGCCTTCAAATGATTAACTTGTCAGGTTGTCTGGGATTGTGTGTTTATCTGTTGCTATCTTGAAACAATCTGTTGAATTCTTTGGTGTGATGCTGGTTGTTTAGTACAAGTATTACAGATGAAACAGGAACATGGGATCCTGAGTACTTATCTATATAATCCAAATATATGTTGACTCAGTTTTTAAATCCATGGCAGCTTCTGGCCTCAAGTAACTGTTTTTCTTTCATGGTAGATGTGGTTTCTGAATCTGAAGTAGTCTCTCTTTTGTATGTCAAAATGCAATTCCATGGGCATATGTACAGGATGCAGAATAGTTAAATATCTAGTTGCTCATTACCAGGCTCCCATGTAGCTGTAATTCATTAACACATTTGGTGTTTGCTTTTTCATTGTGACTTCTTAACCTGATTCAGTAATAAGATCTTATCAGCTGCTGATCTTAGAATTAAAACTTACCAGTAAAAGCTGTCCACAACAGCTGAATTTGCACAGTATTATACCTTACTCAGATCTCTTACTCTGTTAGCTAGGTATCCTCAAAGTAGGAGCCTAATCATGACATTCAGTTAAACTGCATGGAGTGCAGGTTAGGGCATACTGTATAAAGGTGGCTGAAAACTTCCCTTTGCTCTCCATTGATCCTTGTGCTGCTGTCTGCAGGACTGGCTCCTATGCTGGGTGAGTTTGTGTGTAATGCAAGGTACCCTTGCAATGCCCCTCCTCCTTTGCTCAGGGCCCCTTTTCCTTGCTCATCTGGATGTAAGAGCCCCCACATCAACTATGTCTCCGGAAGATCACCCGTACACTGTGGTGACCTTTCCTGGGGCAATTAAGCTGGTGTTTAGGGCTATGCTATGCCAGTGGTATAAACAATGGCTGCATCATACCAGGGAAGCTGAGCTATATGTTTCTTCTTGATCATGGAAAAAAGTAAATTACTGAGATTATATAACAGGCCAAAAAATCCAGCAATTTTTGTCTCATAGCTGTTAAACTGTAAACATTCTACTGTGTATATGTATCTCTATAGATAATTCTGAACTGTATCTTGTAGGGCAAAGTTAAAACTATTCATTCATTTATTTATCTTTTAAACTGTAGTTTTCAGGAGTAACTTCCCAGCCAGAGCAGCCTACCAGGTTGTTGCTTTGCCAAATGTGAGTGTCAATTGTTCTTCTATAAATATCTATTCTCTCTCTAACTTCTTGCAGCTGGAGGATTTTCATTCCTAGCTAACTTCTCTGAATAGTTTGCTTTTAATGGAGGATTTTTTTCTTATGTAGTTAAAATATGTAATCTCCCTGACTCTCTCCCTGTCTGTAACATTAAAGGGGAGGAAACGTCACTCCAGGAATAAGGGATTATTATATGTAGAATGATTAAAAGAAAGCTTTCAGTTTTCATTAACATTGCTGAAGAAATTACTAATAGGAAAAAAATACCTTGGAAAACTACAAGGTTTAATTCTACAAATCTTGATTCATTTTTTTTTTGTAACGGGTACTATGCTCAATAATTTAAAAATGTAGGTCTCTCTAAATTCCTATTCTGCTTCAATGTTTTCCCCACAGAATGCACGAGTTGAGATTGAAGCTGTAGCCATCCAGGGACCAATCCAAGAGGCATCAGCATGACTATAAATACAGTACTCTAATACACTACTAATTGTGTCTGAGGCTTAGGCCCTGTTCCTGCAATTGGCTGCCTGTGGGCTCACCCCCTTGGAAGCTCCATGGAAAAGCACCTTTGCACAGTCTGTTGCAGGATCTTACATTCTCTAAAACCCCCATCATGTAATGAACTCTGTGCAGGCAGATCCCTGTGCCCATGTGTAGCCCCATTGTCATCAATGGGGCTCTGCGCTGGTTTCAGGGTTTGTCTGTACTCATTGCAGGATTGGGGCCTTAGTCTGTAATGGTGGCTGGGTATTGTCACCTTCCTAAAAGGTTGTTTCAGGTAAGGTTATCCAATAATGAACAAACTCTCAAAATATATGGAAGCAGAGAATTGCATTGGTGGTAACATGATAGCATATGCTGTAACCTTTAGAAATCCTGCTAGCACTCTAGATATAAATCATAGACCTGGGTTTTTAATACATCACTTAATATTTTTATAAATGAGCTGGAGTTCATGCATTTCTAACTATAGAAAACCTGATTCGCTGCAGCACAGAAGTGAAAATACATATTTGGGGATTCACTGTATGAGCTTTGAACACCTGAAGTGTTTGATTAGATCAGGGGTCTCAAACTCAAATGAGGACAAGTACATTGGCCTGAGGGCTGCATCAGAGGACTCCCCCATTGCCCCGCCCCTGTCCCCACTCCGCCCCTTCCATGAGGCCCCACCCCATCTCTTCCCAGCCCCCATTCCAACCTCTTCCCTGAAATTCCCACCCCAACTCTGCCCCCTCCCTGCCCCCAGGGGGTGCAGGAGGGGTGTGGCAGGGGGTCCAGGTGCAGGAGGGGTGCAGCAGGGGGCTCAGGGCAGGGGGTCTGGGTGCAGGAGGGGTGTGGCAGGGGGCTCAGGGCAGGGGGTCTGGGTGCAGGAGGGGTGTGGCAGGGGGCAGGCTCCAGCCCGGCACACACCAGGACAGGGCACGCTCCCTGCCCTGACCCTGCGCCGCTCCAGGAAGCGGCTGGAACCTGGGGGAGGGGGGCACAGGGGTCTGTGTGTTGCCCTGGCTGTGCCTCCAGGCACTGCCCCCCCAGCTCCCATTGGCTGGGAACAGGGAACCGTGGCCAATGGGAGCTTAGGGGGAGGTACCTGGAGGCACAGCCAGGGCAACACACAGACCCCTGTGCCCCCCTTCCCCAGGTCCTGGCCACTTCCCGGAGCAGCACAGGGCAGGGCAGGCAGGCGGGGAGCCTGTCCTTGCCCCCAGTGCACGCCGGGCTGGACCGGGCCAGAGCTGCTGTAGGTAAACACTATGGGGGCTGCGGGGAGCTGGTGGGCCGCAGAAAATAGCCCCACGGGCTGCATGTTTGAGACCCCTGGATTAGATCCTGGACCTATATCTCTAGATCTGATTTATCTTTGCTTTTCTTGAGTCACTTCTAACACACACAACTTCACGGAAGTGTGAGTAACTCATGTAAATCAGTTGAAAATGTTTTATTTGAATGTTTAATGAAAATTAATGTTTTGTTTAGCACAGCATCAAGTACCTGATGGCCTACAAATATAACTTTGAATTACCTTGTTCATTTTATCTAAAGATAATTAGACACATTCTATAGCTTTGGGGAAAATATGTACTATCTAATAGGAATAAACTATAATTGCATGTATTAAATATGGTGGTCTCTCATTTTTGGGAATAAATGTGCTTTTTTCATTTAAAAATAAATGCTTATGTTTCTTGGTATGACAACATGATGTCCTGGGAGGTGTGCTGCCTGCCTCCAATTGTTATGGAAAGGTTGCTGAAGCACACCTGTCCCTCTGACTACTACCCCATGCTGATCATCCACCTGGGCACTAATGATATTGCCCGGTCTCACTCCAAGCAGATCAGCAGCGACTTCAGGGCTCTGAGAGCTAGGGTGAAGAAGTCAGGGGCACAGGTTCTGTTCTCCTCCATCTCCAAACTGAAGTTAAGTGTACAGGCAGGGACATATGCATCCTGGAGACAAATGCATGACTGCACACATGGTGTTAGTAGGAAGGCTTTTGCTTCATTGACCATGGAATGCTGTTTGAGAAGACAGTCTGCTGAGAAACAATATGGTCCACCTGACCAGGCAGAGAAAGAACATCTTCATGTACCGACTTGCCAACCTAGTGGGGGGTATTAAACTAGGTTGAAAGGGGGCAGGTAACAACAGCCCACAGGTAAGCATAAAAAAAAAAAAAACTACTTTAACATGTCTATAGGTTGGGAGGGATATGGAAATTATAATAGGGTCATTGGCGCAACAAGAGGGAAATGGGGGGGGGGGGTCTGCACAACATCTAAGGTGTGTCTACACAAATGCAAGGAGTATGGGGAATAAATAGGAAGAACTGGCTGGATTAGTACAGAGTTACATTTTATTAAAGTTAATGTTAAAAATGATATAGTACACAGGTTAAGAAAAGAGTGTTTGTACATCTGGGTATATGCTTAGATTATCCACAATACAAAGTTTGTTTTTACAAGTCATAAGATATGTAGTACATACTCAGCAATAACCCCAATTAAGGTGAATAAATTTAACAATACAGTTTAGCTATTAGAATCTGAATACGGGGGTACATCTCTCATGAAAAGTTATACAGAGCATTGGTTGTAGAAAGCAAATATAGGAATGAGTGTAGATTGTCCCTCAGTAATTGAGCATTTAGTGTAGATTGTCCATTTGGAAAATACAATCCATGAGAAAAGTATTTCAGTTACTTTTATGACTTAATTGACAACAGAGAGAGAAATCTCATGAGTGGACTATTGGTATGAAAGGGTAGAGCTTGTTCAAGGGGAAAAAGTGAGGTACTGACTCCATGGGTGCTCCAGGGCTGGAGCACTCCTAGAAAAAATTAATGGGTGCTTAGCACCTACTGGCAGCCAGCTCTCCTCTCCCAATGCCTCCCATCCACCAGCAGCCCTGTGATCAACACTCCCCCTCCCTCACAGCACCTCATACCTGCCATGACCAGCTATTCTGCAGCATGCTGGGGGCAGGGGAAGGAGTGGGGATGGTGTGGCAACAGGTGGAGTGGGAGCTTGGGAAAAAGGGGTGCAGGCAGGGTGGAAGCTAGGAGGAAGGGGTTGGGGTGGAATAGGGAGTTGAGCAGCCCCAGGCCTGGAGGAAGCTGGTGCCTGTGTGTTGTATTATACATCAAGAATATGTACATGTATTCAGAGATCCAGAAAGAGGTGAGTGGCAGACCAGTTTAAAGTTGCTGGGTAAAGAGGAAATAAAAGGGAGGTGGGGGGGAAATGGGATTGGTTGAGAGTGGTCATGGTAGGGTCTACTATAGACCACCAACTCTGGAAGAGGATGAGGCATTTCTAGAACATAAATATCCAAAAACACAAGACCTGGTACTAATGGGGGATTTTAACTACCCAGGTATCTGTTGGAAAAGCAATATGGCAAAACAACATTTCCCATAAGTTCTTGGAATGTACTAGGAACAATTTTGTTTCAAAAAGTGGAGAAAGTAGCCAAGGGGACAGCCATTTTAGACTGGATTCTGACCACTAGGAAAAACTGGTTGTAACTCTGAAAGCAGAAGATACTTTAGGTGAAAGTCACCATGAAATGATTTCATGATTCTAAGGAAAGAGTGAGAGCAGCAGAATAAGGACAGTGGACTCCAAAAAAGCAGACTTTAACAAATGCAGAGAACAGGTAAGCAAGGGTTCATGGGCAAAAGAAATCTAACAACTAAAGGAGTTCAAGAGAGCTGGCAGTTTCTCAAGGAGAGAGTTTTCAGCTGTGCCTTTAATAATCTCAATGCAAATGAAAGGTAGGAAGAATAGTAAGAGGCCAGTATGGCTCTGGTAACAGCTCTTTAATGACTTGAACATCAGAATGAATCCCACAAGAAGTGGAAATAGACAACTTCCTAAGAGCATGAAAAACAGCACAAGTATGTAAGAAATCAGAAAGGCTTAGGCACAAAGTGAGTTACACCTAGCAAGGGATATAAAACACAGGAAGACTAGGGTCTATAAATACATTAAGAGCAAGAGAAAGATGAAAGAAAGCATAGTCCTCAACTTAATGGGAAGGAGAACTAATAATTGATTACATCAGGAAGGTTGAGGAGTTTAATGCTTGTTTTCTACCATCTTCACTAAAAGGGTTAATGGTGACTAGGTACTCAATACAATTAATATTAAACAACAAGGGGGGAGGAATGCAAGCCAAAAGACGGAAAGAACTGGCAAAAGTATGTCAGATGTATTTAAGACAGCAGGACCTGATGAAACTTACCCTGTAGTATTTAAGGAACTAGTTAAAGCAATCTCAGAACCATTAGCAATTATCTTCAAGAACTCATTGAGAACAGGTGAGGTCCCAACAAAGAGTATTTATCTTTAAAGGGGGAACCAGGGGACCCAGGGAATTACAGACCAGTCAGCATAACTTCAATAAATGGAAAGATACTGGAACAAACAATACTATATCCCAGTGGCTCTCAAACAGAGGGTACATCAACTCATTCGGATGTTTGCCTAGTTTTACAACAGGCTACATAAAAACCACTAGTGCAGTCAGTCCAATCTAAAATTTCATACAGAATATGACTTGTTTATACTCCTCTATATACTATACACTGAAATGTAAGTACAATATTAATATTCCAATTGATTTATTTCATAATTATATGGTAATCCAATCCCAATCACTAGAGGTTTTAAAGAACAGGTTGGACAAACACCTGTCAGGGTTGGTCTAGGTTTACTTAGTCCTGCCTCAGTTCAGAGAGCTGGACCTAATGACCTCTTGAGGTCCCTTCCACCAGTCCTACATTTCTATGAGTCTACAAACATAAAGGCTTTCCAAAGGACAACTGAAAGGAATATGATAGTCCTGAGAAAATGGTAGGTGTAATCAATCTTGTGTAAACAAATGTTTGTCCCATACAATGCTTTGATGGCTATAGGCTCAGATTGAGAAAAAGCTTCCATTCTATCCCATAATGGGTGAAGATGAAAATAATCCTGTATGACAGCAGAGGCAACAGGTTCCATGCTTATTTTACTATTATGGCATTACAGCTGTTGAAAGTGCTTTCAACTAAGATCAGCTCTTTAGGAGTGGTGGATTTTTTAACACCTTTAAATATCCTATTCAGACTGTAACTAGATACTGTCATTAATCCAGTTATGCTGTATCTCTGCACTTTATATCAGCAAAACAAATCATATTGGACTATTGCTTAAAATGTAGCCCAGTGTTTGGCTACATTTGTGGTTCACTATGAAAAATGTGCAAGAGACAAAATAACCAAACTTAGCCAATTTTATTGCCTAAAGACAAAAGAGTACAGTACAAAAAGGAGACATACATACTCCTCCTTTCGGGAAGGAATTCTTATCTCATAGCATGTTCACCTTTCACAGTAGGTGTGCTTCCAAGCAACACCTCCAAAACTAGCTATGTTTATAGCAGACCTGTGTACAAGTTAAAAGCACTCTATACATCATCCAAGGCTAAAGTTCACTACTCTGCTTTTTACCTTGTTTTCTTGGTGTGTCCATGGTGTGTCCCTTAGCTCTTATTTTTGAACACAGCATTCCAAACCAGTTGGACAGTCAAGGCACTACCTACCTTGTGCCAAGGTAGAACACCCATATATTTTGCTGCTGCAGTGAGGTACCTCCAGGTTGCATATAAATACATATAAATATATAAAGTTTAAATGTAAGATGTAGCTGCATGAAAGAATATGCACTTAGAGGACAGTGATGATGCATGTCAAATCCTTTGTAAGAAATGTGTTAAGTATTTTTATGTACTTGGTGAATTACTATTTTTACAGGAAGTCTGGGAGAAAAAATCCAAATGTTGAAAATAACTTTTTTTTTTAACCCTCAAAAGAGGTTCTAGCTTTGCAGAGCATATTACAAATTTGGGCTCTGACTTTGTATCTCTATAGTAAAAGAAAACTAATTTAAAATAAAGATTTTGATTTACTATTAAAGTAGTTCTTCAAAAAAAGTCAGTCCTGAATGTGTTTAAACATTTTATTTTTAAAATTAAATTACAATATACTTAACATTACCTCATTTTATTTTTAAAGAAGGCAAAAAGAGCATGAACACTTCTATTATGTTTTAATCCAAACTTCTTCAATATGAAAAATGGGTATCATACGCATATGTCATTTTAGGCGTTAATCCAGCAAAGTACATAAACACAGGAGTAGTCATATTGATTTCAATGGGATTATTATTAATGTGCTTAAAGTTGAGCACTTACAGAAGGGCTTTGCTGGTATGGATGCCATAACATGCATAATATTAACAATTCAGTTTGAGATATGCAGTTATTACACATCATTTACCATTTTAACACTAGGTACATTTTTTTTTTTAAAGTGCTTAAATGTGATAGATCTGTAGGCTTGGGAGGATTCCATTTTTATTGGTGAATGTCAGTAAAGGTCAATTTCACTGTATACACAGAAACTGAAGGGAAAATATTTCTATCAATGATAATGAACATTTACAGATAGGGCAAAGTAAGAAAAAATGCTACTGGGAACTTCTTAAGAGTTTGATTTTAGGATATTTCCTGTGATGTTGACAATTTGTGTTTTAACAATTATAAAGCTTTAACTTTTTGAATCTCAACATCTACTGTCATTAAATAATTGTCTGAATTTCCTGCAACTGTGAAAATTTAAAAAATAAAAATATAAATGTCAAAATTATATTTAAAAAAAATTAAATTCTGCCAAGCCTACTTATCTAATAAATTAATTTGAAGGTAAAACAAATTTTAAGTAAGTTTCTGCTACAATGTGTTCTTTAATATTTCCCCCAAATAGTTAACTTCCCTAGAGATTGAACAAAGCAGAAATAAAAATCCGTACACATCATCTAACTTTAATAAAACTACCATCCTTGTCAAAATTACCAACTAATCCTCAACTGAGAGCACCTATATGCTTAGAGCAGTGGTTCTCAAACTGTGGGTTGAGACCCCAAAGTGGATCATTACCCTGTTTTAATGGGGTCGCCAGGGCTGGCGTAGACTTGCTGGGACCTGGGGCTGAAGCCTGAGCGCCACGGCCTGAGGCCCAAGCCTTAGGGCTTCAGCCCTGGGTGGCAGGGCTCAGGTTACAGGCCCCCTGCCTGGGGCTGAAGCCTTCAGGCTTCGGCTTTGCACCCCCTGCCCAGGGTGGAGGGGTTCGGGCTTTGGTCCCTTCACCCAGGACAGTGGGCTCGGGCAGGCTCAGGCTTCAGTCCCCCCTCCTGGGGTCGTGTAGTAATTTTTGTTGTCAGAAGTGGGTTGCGGTGCAATGAAGTTTGAGAACCCCTGGTTTAGAGCACCTAACCCTTCTTGATATCAACAGCAACTACCGTATTTATTTGAAAAGACATTATATGAAATATCGGAATCTGGCTAAGCAGACTGCAAAATAGTTGGGTAAGCAGGGGACATTGTTCCTAACATGGTATGTGCATGCACGCACACAGTGGATAAGGTCCAAACTTAACAATAAAGGACACCCAGGAAGAGGCTAAATGAACAATCTTCCTACCAGATCTTGCTCATGAACATGGCTATTCCTAAGGTTACCCTTGGTGACCTGTCCCTGACCCTCATTCCCTCTGGCATGAAATGATACACAAACCCTTGGTTGGAGCTAGTAGGATCCATTAGATCCATCTGCCAGCGTGAGTCAATTTTATACCAATTCCTAGGACCTGACACTAGCTCTTTCTACAAATGTTTCTGAAAATGGCTTTTCAGACTGAATAGACAAAAAAATCTCCTTTAAGGTACACAGGCATTACGCTGTAGGTAGGCCTTGTTAACATACCACACCTGCAAATATGAATGTTAACCTTTAACATGGTACAAGAACCAATTTCTGTCCTCAGCAACCCCCTTGATTTCACTGTGATTGCAGAGGCATATGTCAGGACATAATTTGGCCCTCTGGGTCTTAGTTGTGCAAAGATTCTTGTAAGGTAACAGTGTATACATTGGTATCGTACAGAATATTGCATTACTAACACTGGAATGTTAGCGATTGTTTAATTCTGAGGGTAGCGATAGAGTAATTTAGACAGTAAAAATAGTTTTTGTGACAGTTTATTGTTTTCCACATTCAGTCAGAAAAGCTCTTCTGCTTTTAGGATGGCTGGGATGAAGTAACATCGATGCTAGCTGTACTCATGAGGTACACAAGGAAGTGCCTGTCTTTGAGGAAGGCAAGTATTGCTGAGAAAGTGGCAGGCTCAGAATCCTTTTTCTTCCAATTAAAAATTGCTAAATGATTTCAAAAAAGTTGTGTGGTGTGACGTACATGGATGTTTTCACTTGTTTCTTTGAAGCGGCCATTGAGATGCAGTTTGTGCCATGGTAATGAGATTGTTTGTGCAGTCTCTAGGTTACCTTAATTAGTTATAAAGTTACATTTAAAAAACTAACGCAGCTCCACTGCTGCTGCTATTACTGCTGGTCTTGCTGATTGGAACGCCTACTGTTAACTACGATTAGTATATTTAAACCCTTTTAAATGTTTAATAATTCTGTGCCAGTATTGGAACTGGATATCAGAAAAAAGTAACAAGGGCCGTTGCTTTGATTTGATTTTAGTCCAATATTAGAGAACGAAGAGAAAGGCTCCAACAATATCCAACCACAGAAATTTTACAGGGGGGAAAAAAAAACCCACGTCCTAGGAATTTTAGCTGTATTTTGTAAAAGCTGCAGCATTTTTAAAACAGCAGCATATTCAGCAGAAAATGGAATTGATTACATTTGTTTCATCTACTGAATTGCAAAGAACATAGAACCCCATAAAATAACTGTGACTCGATACAACATGTAGGCTGCAAATAAGGATAATGGGTTCTTCCAACCTAAAATTGGTGGTGTTTCCTATCTTAAAACAGAGTAAATTTCAATAGTCTGAACAGGACGTTAAGAAATAGAAGACTAAGAAATAACACAGTAAACATGACCAATATTAGCTGAAGTGAGAAATTAAAAGGCAATGGATATAAATCTAAATATTTAGCACAAACCAAAGCCAACTGGAGTCAGATGTGCACATATAATGCAGACTTTGTCTTTAAGTATTTTAGAAATTGTGTTTATCTTTATCACTTATGTGAAGACCTCCTAAATGGAGCCAATAAGTGCTCACCCATTCTGAAAAACTTCACCTTTCTTTCCTGACTGCAGTCCTCTGACTTCTTATGCCAAAGAGTTTTGCAAACACAATCCCAGCGATAATCAGTAGTGCCTTTCTTCCTGTTCAGTATCAGGACAGATTTATCCTCTATCACAGTGTTTCTCAAACTTGGGACGCCACTCGTTCAGGGAAAGCCCCTGGCAGGCCGGGCCGATTTGTTTACCTGCCACGTCCGCAGGTTCGGTTGATCGTCGCTCCCACTGGCCGCGGTTCGCTGCTGCAGGCCAATGGGGGCTGCAGGAAGCAGCGGCTGGTACGTCCCTCGGCCCAAGTTTGGGAAACAGTGCTCTATCACATCCATGAAATCAGCTGTTTCAAGGCTTGTTTCCATAGGAAGTTTATGTTGAAAGGCTTCATTATTCAGCTTCTGGAGAACTATTTAGCATGTTGTAAACCAAGTAAGAATCCACACAGTATACTTTTTTTTTTTTTTTTTTTTAAGATAACACTATCGGGAAAATGTGGCTAGAATGCATATACTTTGAGAGCAAGGAGTTTCCTCAGTTTATATTTTAGAAACTATACAGTGACTAAATGTAATTTTATTAATAATTTGTATCCGTCTGAGTTTTAGCAATTGCTAAGTTCCTTTTGCGCTTCCATAGGTGTGCTTTCTTCCGCTGCAATAGTTACCAAGTGTATGTTCTACTGCTATCCTATCAGTAACCCTCTTTTTTTTTTAAAGTCACCAAAAGACATTAGTCATCAGAGGGTGTCACATCCTATGTATTCTTTATCTTCTTGAAAAACTTATTGTTGCATCTAGCCATGTCCTGTTAAATGGGTGCTTTCAGGTCCTATTCCTGTATATATCTATGAACTTGAGCAACTTGATAAACATGAGTAGTCCATGCACTCATTGAAACTACTCACCTGTGTCAGTTTGAGATCAGGACTGGACCTATGCTTCTGATCTCAACCTAGCACTAACATTGAAAAAATATGCAGTACTATATCTTTTGCATCCTGTATAATGTTAGTTGATACCAATTATAACAGTGTCCCTCAGATTGATTTTAAGTTACTCATTTTAACCTGTAAAACTCTTAAATGAAAATCGAGCAGTTATACTGTTTTGTATGACAATTCCTTCCACTCTGTTAGCAGTGGATAGAAGGCACTCTATGGCAGATAGGTAAAAAGTTCATACATTTCAATTACTTGTTGAAGTCTTGGCAACTTGACTTCAGGAAAAATACTTAATTTTTTGCTGGTGCCCCTTGTTAATGCTTGTAGTGAAGTCCATAAAAGCTTTTTTAAAATCCTGATATTCCCACCCAAAAGCCATTAGATTAAAGAACGTTCATTTGAACAGCTGATAGGACCAAGAAGAGGAAGTCCAAATAGACCTGACTCTCATTCCTCGTTATTCGTTGCCTCTGAAATAGATATATAAAAAAAAAGTTACCTTGTGATGCACTGAATATTAAGATATGTATTAAAGGGAGACTCTCAACTTGAGAACCCCTTTAAATAATACGTTCTGAATAGTTTGCCCCTCTGCTAGTATATTTGGAAGGATCTTTTGGGAGGGCCTGAGAAAACCACTATCCATCCTCAGCAATCCCCACTTCCTCCATCCCCCCATCTCTTTGCACATGTACCTACTCCATACGTTCTATGGAAATATGCTTAAAGCTGTGAATATGATGTAACTGAAATATGCTTTATGCAAAAGGTCTCTTGTAAGGTATCATTACAAAGCTTATAATCTACTGAATATATTCCTCCTATTTGTATGTATCATTCTTGTATCTGAAGCTAGAAATATGAAATATAACTCTGAGGTCCTATTGTAATTAGGACAAGTGTGGGCCATTAATGGTGGTTTGGAAGCTTGATGGCTCCCATTGACTAGGACAATTGGTTGTAAATGATCTGTTTACTTGCAAACCTTCCTGGGTGCGTGCAGGCCAGCCCTGGAAGAATGGAGGCTGGGGTCTCACAGGACATGTGAACGTGTCACCTAATACTGGAATCCATCTTAAACCTGGTATTTTTCCCATTTAGAAGGAGAGATGGGGACCCAGAGAGACAAAAGATTCCTGCCTTGTGCGAAAGATATAAAAGGGAGTGGAACAGAACAAAGGGTGTGGCCAATCATGAGAACACCCCTGCTTTCCACCTAAGATGTTTGCTGGAACTAACAAGCACTGTACCAGGGGAAAGGATTAGGCCAAGACTAGGAAGGAGTCTAGTCTGTGAACCATCTCTGAGGGTAAGATTTTACCTGTAATCAGTTTCTTAATGTATTAGGCTTAGACTTGTGTGTTTTTGCTTTATTTTGCTTAGTAACTTACTTTGTTCTGTGTGTTACTACTTGAATCCACTTAAATCCTACTTTTTATACTTAATAAAATCACTTTTGTTTATTAATTAACCCAGAGTAAGTGATTAATACCTGGGGGAGCAAACAGCTGCGCATATCTCTCTATCAGTGCTATAGAGGGCGGACAATTTATGAGTTTACCCTGTATAAACTTTATACAGAGTAAAACTGATTTATTTGGGGTTTGGATCCCATAAGGAACTGGGTGTTTGGGTGCTGGAGATAGGTGACCTGCTGAGTAGTTTTTGGTTAAAAACTTTGGGGCGTGGACCAGACCTGGGCTGTGTTGCAGCAGGCTAGCGTGTCTGGCTCAACAAGGCATGGTTCTGGAGTCCCAAGCTGGCAGGGAAAATGGGCTCAGAGGTAATTCCAGCATGTCAGGTGACAGTCCCAAGGGGGTCTCTGTGACTGAACCCGTCACACCTACATTCTCAATTTTAGTTGCACTGCTGCTGTTACTAGCAAATACCCTCCTGCAAAGATTGGGAAAGACCATGTATGTGAAAGGTGCTTTCAGATCACTGCATGAGACAGACCATGCAGATGACCATAAACAAACCAATGACACTGGTTAAACACAAATGAGCAGCTCGAGGGAGAGTCTGTGTGGGTATGCTGTTGTGTACCGCACCAACCACAATCTGAGTTTGCTATTTTAGATCTCAAAAAAAAAAATTATCCCTATCTTTCTAAAAAACAATTTATTTTTAAAGACATTATAACTATTCATGAAGTTGCTGTCACATATTGGGACTTCATGTTGCTAATGCCTTTGAGACAATGGCATTGGTCATGTACACTGGTGGCTACTCAGGCCAGAGAACTGAAGGCAATTATTAAAAATTAGCAGAGGAACATAGGAATTCACATACTGCATCAGACTCAATGGTCATCTAGTCCAGTATCCTGTCTCTGACATTAGACATTTATATGGCTATAATAAGCCAATCTCTTTTTGAATCTTGCCAAATTCTTGGCCTCAGTGACTTCCTGTGGCAGTGAATTCCACAGTTTAATTACACATTGTATGACAAAGTATTTCCTTTTAGCAGTTTTGAATTTCCCACCTTTTAATTTCATGGAATATTCCCTTGCTTTTGTGTTATGAGACAGGGATAACAGATGTTCTCACTCAACCTTTTCTAGACCATTCATTATTTTATAAACTTTCATCATGTCCCCTCTTATTTGTACCCTAAGCTAACAACCCCTAACTCTTCATAGGAGATTTTTCAATGCCCCTGGTCATTCCTGTCACCCTTCTCTGAATCCCCTCAGTTCTGCAACATGCTTGTTGAAATGAGGTGACCAGTGCCACATGCAGTATTCCAGAGAATGCCACACCGTGCACTGATTCATATAACAGCATTATATTCTTTGTACCATTCACCATCACATTCCTTATGCATCCTAACATATTGTTTGCTTTTTTGACCGCAGCTGCACATTGAGCAGAGGTCTTCATTGAACTGTCTCCAATGACAATGAGGCTTTGAAAAGGCTAAGAAATGCTATGCTGAAACGAACAGCATGAAAGTCAACTTCTGGCCACTTTGTCCAAAAACTTATCCTTAGAGGTGAAATATTTGAAGTAGAAAACATTTCTGGATCTTTAGAGGCAAAGCTGTCATTGAACACAGATGCCATATTCACCAGACTACAGCAGTCACCACTCATATGGTTTCAATGCTTTGGTTTTACACAGTAGCCTAGCTATTAAAAAAAATGAATTGGCATGTTATGGCATTGTACAAACTGACAATGTACTCGGTCACATTACACAGGCGTGAAGAGGAAGGGAATGCCCTATGCTGGAAGCTGCCTCCATAATAGCACTTATATATCAAATCTGCAACAAATGGCAATATTTATGCACATTTACCAAACTTCTTAACCACTACGCTACGTGCCTTTCAGGATTTATCGCTCTTGGTGTAAAGCTCTTTTCATTATCCTGTAACACTGCAATGTACAAGATGGGTTTGTCACAGTAAACTTAACTGAAATAAATCCATGCACATAAATGCTTAAAGCATGATCCAGAACTTGCTGCAGATGTGAGTGACATCTTATTCAGCCCCCAGAGGCTACTCTCTATTGTTTTGAAGGGGGACCAGTAAACACCACATTCCTGGACATTATCACAATAAGTGCTCAACAATACCAGCAGGCAGCAATACGGGAGGACTGGATCAGTGCTGTTCTGCATGATCAGATCTAGATTTTAAACCACACTGATATTAACCAGTTTATTATTTAAGGTGCTAGAATTTTCATGTGAATTTAAAATTAAATTATTACATGGTCTCAATTCTATATAGTGGCAGTTAGACAAGGTAAAACCAGGAGAATAAAAAGGAGAAGCCCTGGCACAATAGTCCAAACCAGGACATGCAAAATGAGAAAAATACCTCTGGAAAAATCACAGTAGCAACAATATTACATTTTTAATTTAATTGAGAGAACGAGACCATAGCTCAAATTGAGGCAATCCCGTTTTCTTATCAAAACAACCAGATTTAAAATCTTAAACTGAATGCTGAGAAGTAAACAGAATTGTTTTCCTCCTCTGTGCCTGGAGGACCAAGTGACTTCAGCTTTATGGGAAAGATTAGGCCATGCTAATATTTGTACTTGGAAACTGAAGAAGCTAGGAACCTTGAAAATATAGGTTTTCTGCTCAGAGACAGGATGATCCAGTGGTTAGGGTGCTAACCTAGGAAGCAGGAGATCTGAGTCCAATTTCCTACTGCACCAACTAGTATGTGACCTTAGACAAGTCACTTAGTCTCTCTGCTTCAGTTCCTCATCTGTAAAATAGAGATAATGGTATTTCCCTGCCTCACGGGGGTATTGCAAAGAGAGTGTGAGATGTTCAGGTAATACAGTACCAGGGGCATATAAGTACCTTAGATTGATATTGCTTGTACACAAGAGGAAGCTACACTCCCAAACTATCCAATACTCGTTCTTAATTTTGGACACCACCCACAATTTGAGTTTCTCTACACTATCTTACAGATGAACAGTCAATGACCTCATAATAAAGGCTTCAAGAATCACCCTCTTTAAAATAAGAATAATTTATTGTCTAGTGTGCATATGACCATTTTTTCCCCCCACAGTAGTGCAAACAGACTGAGCTATGCATAGAAATACAAACACCGCAAGGTATGCAGAAAAGTAGCAACAGCTCACTTTTTGTTGACAATAAGCTCACCTTTATACTGTGGTGCTAACTATAAAAAACAGCTATTGGAATTTTTCTTCTTTTATTTCACTGTTATACGGAATGGGGGCATAAGATAATGGTAATTATACTCCTGAGTCCTCTGGCTCCTTTTGATCATATAGATTTCCGCTTTTAGAGATATTCACTAGCATATTCCTAAGGTCTTAGGGTTTGATCCATCAGCTCTTAAACAAGTAGCTCTTATTCATGTGAACCCAATCAGAATGATCAGGACTATTCATGTGACTAATAGCTATTTGTGAGTGTAAGAATTTGCAGGAACAGGTCCTAAGAGCCAGATTTTTAAAGGTATTTAAGCACCTAAAGCAGAGGTGGGCAAACTACGGCCCGTGGGCCACATCCAACCTGCGGGACCCTCCTACCCGGCCCCTGAGCGCCTGGCCCGGGATGCTAGCCCCCGGCCCCTCCTCTGCTGTTTCCCCTTCCCTTCCGCGCACCGCGCCATGCTCTGAGCAGCTGGGCAGTGCAGTTGCAGAGCCGCAGCTTGACCCGGTGCTCTGGGTGTACGGTAAGGGGGTGGGAGGAGGGGTTGGATAGAGGGCAGGGGAGTTCGGGGGTGTGGATAGGGGTTGGGGGGTTGGATGGGGCAAGGGTCCTGGGGAGGCAGTCAGGAATGGGGCGTTCGGGGGTGGTCAGGGACAGGGAGTGGTGGATGGGGCAGGAGTCCCAGGGGGCACCATCAGGGGGCGAGAAGCGAGGGCGGGGGGTAGGATAGGAGGCGGGGGCCAGGCCACACCTGGCTGTTTGGGGGGGAGACAGCCTCCCCTAACCAGCCCTCCATACAATTTTGGAAACCCAATGTGGCCCTCTGGCCAAAAAGTTTGCCTGCCCCCAACCTAAAGATACAGACAGGCATGGCGTGGGATTTTCAAACATCAGTGGGAGTTAGGCACTTAAGTGCTTTTGAAAATCCTATTAGGAATGTATCTGTGTCTTTAGGCACTAAATACCTCTAAAAAACTGGCCCTACGTGACCGGCTTCCATTAAAGTTAATATGGGACCCTCTGTTTAACAGTAAGGGGTAGGAAATACCTCCCATGAAATGCCTGCGCGATGACAGAAATTAAAGATGTATAATTTGAGTGTAAAGTTAAATTCTTCTGGAGTGATGTTCCTATTCCCCTACATTTATTATTTTTCATTTGTTTTTAAACATTCTCTCTTCAGCTCATGCTTTCTACTTACCCACATGATTGCACTGACTCTGGAATTTGCACTTATCCTAGTGTTAGGTTCCTGAATACAGCTGCTAATAACAAAGAGCAGGCGGATCTAAAATGAAGGATCATCTTGGAAAGGAAATCTCAAGGTTGTGATAATAAACTATTCATAAGAACAAGTCTAGCAAATAGTAACTATGGGATTCATGCTCTTAATGAAACATCTAATTTTCCAGACCTGTGCATTAGAGAAAGTCTACCATTTTTGCCAAACAGGGAATGATTTACTGATTATAGGAACATTATACAAATGAGACCTGATAGAATGCACAACTTATGCCTGATTACTACCAAAAAACAAAACAAACAAAAAAACAATGTCTTTTAAGATAACTATGCCTCCTGTGTTAAAATCAGAAGGCAGCAGCTGCAAATTGAGAATGCAATGATAATGAAAGATATGTTCATTAACATTGTACAGCTTTTCTGTCTCTTAAATTATAATACACATGGTTCTTCACTTCTCTGTCAACATACCTATCTCTGTTGCTGCTGTAGCATCCACAGCTTCTCCTGTTTCTTTTTCTTCTTTTGTTTCAGTCCCCTCACTTACTAGCTCACTGTGCTTCTCAGTTTCCACTTTTTCTCCCGTCTCACCTGGAAACAGTAACCATGGATATCAAATTAGGATACCCTTAACCAGTATTAAATACCCCAGCTCTTTTCTGCATGGCTGATCTGGTTTTGTCACCCCTGCAATAGCTTTTATAGATACAGCAATAGGTCAACAACCAAATGAATCAATAGATAAGAGACATTCAAATGCAACTTACAATTGTGGAGGTACGTGCATGTTTCACATCCATAAAATGCTCCTGCTTCACTTGTCATTCATAGAACTCTGAGCTGAGGCTTGATTTCATATTTAAACTGATTTTGTTTTCTTATATAACTGTGATTTTTATTGTAAACTTTTAATATAGATATTGTTATCAAGAGTCAACAACACAAACAGAAAAGAGTGGTAGCGTGCAGTTCCAGTTGAAATAGAAAACTAATGATTTCCCTCACTGTCATCCCTCTTAGTAGTATCAGTGAATTAAGGAAATAAAAAAATATGCTGTAAATAAATAGAGGAGCCCAATCATCGCTAAATTCATGGAAAGAACCCTCCTCCCTGTGCGAGCACACACACAAATTAACTGTATGCAGAATAGCACCATTTTGAGACAGACATCAACAAAACTGTACACAGAGTTTGTCCAAAAAGAAATCCTGCTGTGAGATGAAGGGGAACAACAATGACTAAATGGTCAAAATAACCCCCATATCTGTCCTTCAGACAAATAATCAGTTTCTCGATTGCAAAGATGTCCCAATACAGGGTCCATGCTACATGGATTACTAGACAGTGTTCTGCTTCCAATATCATGCTAGTAAGCTAATAAGGGCCAGTTAATGGAATAATCAAGTAATCAAACTCTTAGAATCATAGAATATCAGGGTTGGAAGGGACCTCAGGAGATCATCTTGTCCAAGCCCCTGCTCAAAGCAGGACCAATCCCCAATTTTTGCCCCAGATCCCTAAATGGCCCCCTCAAGGATTGAACTCACAACCCTGGGTTTAGCAGGCCAATGCTCAAACCACTGAGCTAAACTAACCAAGTCAGCCATATAGCTTTTATGTAACACAAGTATTTTATTTTAGTAATTTAACGGATATGGAGATAAATTACCATCTCATGAAGAAACAGACTCCAAATTCTCTTAAACAAGTATATGTAAGACCGGAGAAGGCAGCTCCTGTGCCTCAGATATCCGTATGTGAGGTGTACAGGTTCACAACACAGATTCAGGAGAGCCAATACATTTACGGACGGTGATGCTACATATCCAAGTGACTGCATATGCCATTAAGTTCTGCTTGAAGAAGTGACCTTTCCCCCTCTTCAGCAGGAATGTGCAGTGGGAGAGGCTGTTGGTGGCATGCTCTCCTACAGAGCACATGCCTTATGTGCTTCACCCGTCTGTGCTCCCCTAGGGAATGCCTCTCCATAAAGTGTCCAATTCTTTAATGAGTAATTGCCACTTATTGTGAGACACCTGATCCCTAATTTAAGCTACTCCCCTTAGACATGCACCTACTACATGTACACTCAGCCAGTGAGAAACCCAATCCATGTGTGGGATACTCTGCCCTCTTGTGTAAACACTCCCTTGAATCTCTGACTCACTGAGCAGCCTTCTCCTGAGATAACTTACCGCATCTTGCACTCCCCCCTTCCATGAGGTCCCCAGGCCCTCAATGCATGTTCCACCTTTGTGATGCACTGCAAATACTCTCTGACATGATTTTCCTCCCCAGATATCTACTTTTCCTCTTTTTTGAGAAACCCTACCCCATGCTCCTCCTTTTCTTACACTCATATCTCCTGTACTTTTCTGCTTGTCTAGCAGCTAGCCCCATAAGATGGCCCTTCTGCCCATTTCCTCCCCCCACAGCTTGTTTCTGTTTTTTTGAATTGGTAGAACACCACCACAATAGAAAGCAGAACTCTGTATTATTAGGCCAAATGCATCCCTGGTGTAACTCCAATAGAATTAGACCAGGTAACGCCAACGGAATTACACCAGGGAGAAATATGCCCTACAGTATAATAACTGAGCATAGCAAAGACTACTTCTGCTACCCTCTCTCAAAGAGGCCCATTGACTCCCTGCGAGGTAAAAGGACTTTCTATGCAGTTAGCTTGATGCCTGTGTTACTTATGCTTCTAGAATAACTGCATCCAGCACTCTATAGGTGCTTTACAAATAAACTATACAGGGAATGACCCTTCCTTTCTATAGCTTGCTGAGATCCCACTCCCCCCACAAGGATAACACTACAATAATATTTACGTCAGCTATATACTAAAATGGATAATATGGCATTTGTGGATATTGAGCAATAATATTTTACAAAGAAACACCCCTCAGCACTTAAATGAGGAGTCTAAGGGATGTTTTATCTAACCAGAAAACACAGAGTGTGAAATGAAGTAGCACAGTCAACAACGGATAGTGCTGAGAGGCTTTATTACAGTTATTACAATTTTGACTTCTGCGCATGAGACTTTCCCAACCACATTCTTTCATATAATACAGTGTAAGAACTCTGTGGACTAAATTCTGCCCTCACGCACTCATGTGCAGTGTTGATTGAAGTCAACAGGACTTGTACACAAGTCTCTAAAGGCAGAATTTGGCCTCCTGAATCTGCGAAAACACATATATTACCCTCAATGAGTTGGTCCTCTTCGTTACTTTGTACTTTCCTGATGATTTGTGTTACAGGGCTGACACTTCCCTCTGCCGGTCCCGCAGGCGGCGGTATCCCAGTGCCCTCTGCCGGTCCCGCAGGCGGCGGTATCCCAGTGCCCTCTGCCGGTCCCGCAGGCGGCGGTATCCCAGTGCCCTCTGCCGGTCCCGCAGGCGGCGGTATCCCAGTGCCCTCTGCCGGTCCCGCAGGCGGCGGTATCCCAGTGCCCTCTGCCACTGATCCAGTGTCCTCCAGTGGTTCTGCAGCCAGTGGTCGAGTGCCGTCCAGATCCATTCTTTTATAGTTAGAATTAACACATTCTGCTGGTGCTGGAAACAAAACTTCTGGCTCCTCTGCTGGAAGATTCTCACTAGGGTTTATCTCCTCAGATGTGAGATCCACCTCCTCCATTGGGTCTAACTTTGTCTGGTCAGGTATAGTTTCATTTTCCTCTGTGGTTGGAAAGTTTTCATCTGAAGTAGCTTTTATTTATTGTAATTAAAAAGAAAAGAGAAAATATGACATTAATGAACAAGTGTTTAAAATAGATCAGTACTAAACCAGGACAGCACTTGTGCAATTACGTCACAACTAGAGTGGGGTGACATGCTTTTGGTGAACAGTAAATTCGCTGAAAAATGCACTTTTCAGGGCACCAAAACTATCTGTCAATTCCGGTCCAATTCAGCCAATAGTTTTGGCCAAAGAAGGAAAAAAATTAGAGCTGTTAATTAATCACAGTTAACACAAGTGATTAACTCAAAACAAATTAACTAGACTTAAAAAATAATTATGATTATATAAAACAATGTAAAACTTTAACCCCTACTAGTCCACTTAGTCCTACTTCTTGTTCAGCCAATCTATCAGACAAACAAGCTTGTTCACATTTATGGGAGATAATGCTGCCCGCTTCTTATTTACAATCTCACCTGAAAGTGAGAACAGGCATTGCACATGGCATTGTTGTAGCTGGCGTTGCAAGGTATTTACATGCCACATATGCTAAACATTTGTATTCCCCTTCATGCTTCGACTTGTAGTCTCTAAAGTTTTACATTGTTTTGTTTTTGAGTGCAATTATGTAAAAGAAAAAATAATTCCACATTTGTAAATTGCACTTACACAATAAAAAGATTGCACTTGTATGAGGTGAACTGAAAAATACTGTTTTTTCTGTTCCTTTTTTACAGTGCAAATATTTGTAATAAAAATAAATATTAAGTGAGAGCTGTACACTTTGTATTCTGTGTTATAACTGAAATCAATATATTTGAAAATGTAAAAAAAAATCCAAAAATATTTATAAAAAATTTAAATTGGTATTCTATTTGTTAACAGTGCAATTAAAACTGTGATTAATTGCGACTATTTTTTTATAATCTCATGATTAATTGCGATTTTTTAATCATTTGACAGCCCTAAAAAATATATTTTGGAAAATTGGAAGTGTTGTGTCTTGGCCATTTTGAAAAATAATGTTTGGACTTTTCATATCAAAAATGTATTTTTATTTTAATATTTAGCTAATTTAAAAACAAAACAAAAGAGTGAAAAATACCCAAAAATCTGGAACAAATAATTTTGGTTTAAACAAACTATTTTATTTGACCCTAAATGATTTTTTTCAGTTCTCTCATTTGCCTTGAACAAAATCAGGTTTTTTTAAATTTCAGCTCAACCCCTGAACAAATTATTCACTCAGCTCTAGTTACAACCTGTAAGACAGTTTACATTTGTGTATAAAACTTATTCTTTTAATAGATCTGTCATTACTATGAGTAAAGCATATTGAATATGTAAGTGTTGTCTGAGTTAGGCCCAGATGATCAGATACTGACCAAGGAAACAATTTCCACAGCAAAAATATGCATACAGCCAGTGTACTGAGTGTTAAATCCTACCCTGGGATACACATAGGGTTGCCAGGTGTCCAGTTCCAGTCGAAAAAGGACCCTGGTGGCTCTGGTCAGCACAGTCGGCAGCGCAGCAGGGCTAAGGCAGGTGCCCTGCCTGCCCTGGCTCCACGCAGCTCCCGGGAGGAGCCAGCATGTCCAGCTCCTAGGCGCAAGGGGACACTGAGTGCCAGCTCCACAGCTCCCACTGGCCAGGAACCGCAGCCAATGGGAGCTGTGGGGGTGGCGCCTGCGGGCAGCACGCAGAGCCCCCTCACCCCTCTGCCTAAGGAGCCGGACATGGCAGCCGCTTCTGGGAGCCACCTGAGGTAAGTGCCACCCAGAGCCCACACCCCGAACCCCCTCCTGCACCGCAACCCCTCACCCCAGCCCAGAGACCCTCCCGTACCCAAACTCTCTCCCAGAACCCGCACCCCTTCCCACACCCCAACCCCCTGCCTCAGCCCTGAGCCCCTTTCCATACTCTGAACCCCTTGGTCCCAGCCTGGAGCTCCCTCCTGCACCCCAAACCCCTCATCCCCGGCCCCCTGCCCCATTCTGGAGCTCTCTCTCACACCCTGAACCTCTCATTACTGGCCCCACCCCAGAGCCTGCACCCCAAGCCAGAGCCCTCACCCCTGCCCACACCCCAACCCCCAGCCCCAGCTCAGTGAGTGATGGTGGGGGAGAGCGAGCGATGGAGGGAGGGGGGGATGGAGTGAGTTGGGGGCGGGGCAAGGGTGCTTGGTTTTGTGCGATAGAAAGTTGGCACACTAGATGCACATAGGTGGCTTCTAATGGTGCTTACAGACGAGGTGCCATGTCTTTCACTTGAAAACGCAAACCACTGAGCTAGATTTTCATATTCAATAGAATTAGCAGCCATTAGGTGGATTCTCCCCTTGATGCAGCTACACAGTTCCTGTTAATGATAGGTTATATGCACGGTAGCGGTAACATGCACACCAGACATATTGAGGCGAGAACATATACCTCAAAGAATGATGGGACACCTGCCTAAATGCTACCATCTAAGCACTGCTAACCTCAGTGAAGACCAGGGCATTGACAGCATACCGTACTTCACATACATGACAAGAAAAAGCGTTTTAATTTCTTAAAATACACAACATTTTTAACACTGAACTACTGTACATATTAGTCTATCTTATAACACAGGCTATACATTCAAATGTACTTCTCTACTAATGTGGAAGGAATCACTGAAATATGGTAAACATAAACTAAACAGTTCTGGCTCCTTCATCTGTGATTGGATTACAGGATAAATAAAGCTATGGGTCTGCTAGCCAGATGAAGTTTAGGAGAAGAATATAGAACAAAATTGCTTTTATGCATCATATCTATGGGCATTTTATCATAAAGTTGAAAAAGTCACAGAATGAGCCATCAAATTAATACCAATCTACCAGGCCGATTTAATCATCACCTGATTAAATTTGCCAAGACATTGAATTTAACTATCTCACAAAAAGTATTATGATGAAAGAAGCCTTAGGGAGTTCATGGAGGAAATGCGTTAATATAGTAATTGCAAGATTATGACAAACTGCATTTTCTGGTGAAATGATTATTGCGGTGATGAGAGTTGTCAACAGAATTAAGCAATATTTTAAACATGTAGGGGAATGGCTGAAGAATGTAATAAATCTTGTTTTTAATCAGATTATTTGAGTCTGGTTGCTTTTGAGATAAATTCATTGTGGTATATCCTTGAAGGGAAAACAGTTCTCTGTGAGAGGCAGTCAGGGAGAAAACAGTACTTCTCCTGGGGCACTCAGGCGAGGCAGTCCCCTAAAAAGTGCCACCTGCATACTGGCTGAAGTGAGTAGGAGTACAAGGAAAGACAACTGAGGTAGATGAGTGGCAGGAATAAAGGATCGAAAGTGACAACATACATGGAAAAAACCTGCTAAACACAGGGTATCCAAAGGATGCTCTCTCTCATTTGCATAGGAAACTATAATCCGAACCAACGCACTGGGCTACCAATAATGCAATTTTTCTTTATATATATTAAGTGGATCTTGGCAAGGTTCGTAGTCACAAAGTTAGATTGCAGGTTTTAGCTAAATGTATTGAAAGGGTTACTGAAGTGTTATCGCCATTGATTACATTATGATTTTGTTATATTGCATGGGGTTTACTATTATGATTCACATAAGTTATTAATATTTCAAATGATTGAGAATATTATAAAATACATATTACTATACAGTTGGGCTTTAATAGAATAGCAAAAAGTTTTCTGCTTTATCTTCTCACTGGAAAATCTTCACAGTAATAAATAAAAATAATTTGTGAATTTAAAAAAGTGTGATTGTGAATTAAAAGAAAAACTGCAAATGTTTTAAACAGTATTGTATATTATAAAGAAATATATATACATAAAGCCACAACAGTTTCATGTTTTCATTCAAATGAGCATTGTCAAATATTGAGGTGCACAGTAGTTTGCAAAGTAATTCAAGGTATAGTGGGAAGGATGACATGAAATGAGGGGTTTTAGGTATCTGATTACAAAGAACTATAACAAGCCAAACTCAGTAAGAAGGCATGCACAGATTTCTTAAAGAGTTGTTTTTTTTCCCAGGAGAAGGGGTATTTTCTGGTCATGGCCCCTATTTTCAAAACAAATGCAACTAATGATTTTCCCATGCCTTTGTGTGTTCAACTTGAGTCAGCTTAAAGGGGTGTAGTTTTCAAGAAGGGGGTGATCACCACTTTCTGAAGATAAGGCCTTTTTAAAGGGGTCTCAAGTTGGACACCAAAGATGGAGGCATCCAAAATCACTAGTCTCTTTTCAAAATTTGGCTCTTCAGAGTCTGATCCTGCAAACATTAACATACGTGTTAACATGTTACTTATGGGAGTAAAATTACTGGCATGTGTGTTTACAGAATTGAACCCTTAGTTACATTACACTTCAACATAAAATTAGTTTTAACTTTCAAATAGGCAGAAGATTACATTAGGTTACAGAATAAAATCCTCACTAGAACTGTGTGCACTTGACATTTTACACTTACCAGGACACTGTCAGTTCCACATACTGCAGAACCAAAACATAGGTTTTATAATATCAAGGTTTTCAAAATTTAACATCAACAGAAATATTTCTAAATTTTAAATATTTCAATAGAAACAATTAAAAAATATTCCTAATACTTCCCTGCAAATATTGTAGCAACTTGGTGTTTTACTTGTACCACAAAGTGAAAATAAATGAAAATCAACTAGAAAAAAACATTACATGAAGTAATCTAGTCTCATTGTCAAAGCATAATATAGTGCAAAAGGTGAATAAGCAAATGAAGTGAAAAATACATTAGATTTATCTACCATCTTTCATCCAAGGATCTCAAAGCACTTTACAGACATTAATCCACATATTAATTAATAGAACTTAACCAGAACATGACCAGGAGGTAGCTAAGGACACTCTACATCAGGGATTGGCAACCTTTGGCACGTGGGCCATCAGGGAAAGCCAGTGGTGGGCCTGGACGGTTTGCTTATCTGCAGCATCCACAGGTTCGACCGATCGCAGCTCCCACTGGCCGCAG